GAAATGTAGTGAGCCACTACCGCTTGTGCAAGTTTGCCAATGTGAGATTATACATGGCATACTGTTGGCTTATGGAATGAAAGGCAACCAACTACAGCACTGTGTTCTGTATCCTTGGTGCTGATTGACTCAGTGACTGTAGCACTGGTCTGTTTGCTCTTCTGCACTGTGCCCGTACATTCAGCATCTCTCCTTGTCCACTCCACATTGAGTATTCATAAAGAATCTTACATGTTGTTAAAATTATGTAGGTTTAAGAGCATATGAAGTGTTTATAAGAGTGTGGAAAATGTTAATAAGAGAGTGAAGAAGGTTTATAGGAGAGTGGAAAGGTTTTATAAAGCCTTAAAATATATATAAATAATTAAATAAATATAACACCACTACTTCACATATTTTCACCTCTCGCGGGGGTCTCTGGAACATAACTCCCACGATAGGTGAGGAATCACTGTACTCAGATTATAATACAGACTCTTGAAGGAAATTCAGGATGCTGTCTTAGTTTTCTTTATATGTATTTCCTAGTTTCATTAGCCTACAACAGGATATGAATATGAATTTTAGATTAGAAGGAAGCTAGAAAAATGAAGTCATCAATCCACATAAATTCCTTATAATCTCACCTTTGCCCAAGAAGCCAATGCATCATCCCATAAAGGTATGAAGTTCTAGTTACCAGATTCTAACCTTCCAGCTCCAATGGTGATGGAAGCCATGAGAGAGAAACTATGCTTAAAAATAATGCAAAATCTAAATGTTGGACAGGAAACTTCCAATCCAGCCTTTCAGGACCTAGATCTCTCTGATAGATGGCTACATATCACATTTTTTTAATGGTGTTGACCATAAAAAAAATTACTTAATAAAATCCTCTATCTTAGCATTTAAGATATTTTTGATCAAACTACAGAAATTTACCCTATAGTGCTGGTTCCTAGCTCACTGAAAAAAAGAATTATTAAGATTTCAATAGTAAGCCTAACAGGCTTAAATGAAGACATTTACTTATGGAAGACATTTCCTCATGGAGAATGAAACAGTTATTTTCAGAATGGAGAATAAAATGGACCACAAGACCCAGGGATCTCTTTTTTCCCTTCATTCAGGAGGCTGTTGAAGTAAAATGAGGAGTGATATTGGCTACAAGCAAAAATGGATAGTATCTCCTGAGAGTCTTGGGGAGTCACCTCCTTTCTGAACCTGTCAGCTAAGCTGATGCCCTGCAATCCTCCCTGACTTTCAGAAAGGCTCTTGGTTATGGTTTTAACATTTTATTATTATTATTATTATTTTAGTTATGAAGTCCTGTGGTTCCATAAGTATATTCTGTCTACTTGGTCAAATTCCTCACTTAGAGAGCATAATGTCTTGATCAGAAAATCTATTCAACTTTTTCAAGGAACCTGTTTATATGAGTCCATTTCCTTTTTTCAGACTGGATCTCAGTATATAGTCGAGGCTAGCCTTAAACTTGTTCTCCTGCTTCAGGCTTTCAAGTGCTGCGATCACAGATGTATACCACTGCACCTGGTTTCTTTCCTTCCTTCCTTTCTTTCTTTCTTCCTTCCTTCCTTCCTTCCTTCCTTACTTCCTTCCTTCCTTCCTTCCTTCCTTTCTTTTTCTTTCTTTCTTTCTTTCTTTTCTTTCTTTCTTTCTTTCTTTCTTTCTTTCTTTCTTTCTTTCTTTCTTCTTTCTTTCTTCCTTCCTTTCTTTCTTTCTTTCTTTCTTTCTTTCTTCTTTCTCTTTCTTCCAAGACAAAGGGAATTTCTAACAAAAAGGAAATCTTTCAAGCCCAGGATGTCCCTGAAACTTAGTATCAGAATTTTTCATAACCAACTGGGTTGAGCAAACCTCACCTGACTGCAACTGCAGAGCCTGCTGCTCCACTTACCTCAAGTTGCTGGCTGGACTTCGTTCCCATGATATCCTTTTTTGTTGTTGTTTGTTAGAATTGAGGACACAAGTCAAGTGAGGGGAATCAGGCCAATTAGTTCTTTACAACAAGGTTTTATTTATTCTTTTCTTTGACCCCCAAAAAACATTAAAGTTGTTCATCTTTCTCTTATTTGTAATGGTTTTCCTTTTGGATCCAAATGAGCATTTATATTACAGGATATCCACCTGATTGACATGCAGTGCTGAACTCTGGCTTTAGGAGTGATGCACTGATACTTGGGTGGGCAGCTCTGGCTGCCATCCAACCAAAGGTGCTGCAGGAGTCTCAGGCTGGCCCACTGGGGCATCAGCCCATAAGCATGTGCTTCCTACAACTTCACTTGCACATGTCTTCGAATGCAAGTGGAAGCATTTGTACAGCCCGAGGCAGAGCACCCTGTTTCCCTCTTGATCCCATCTTCAATGGTAATCCTCTAAAAGCAAATCAAGGAGAAAATGACCAGGCCTAGGGTCTCACAGGACAGAGGCTATGAGCTGAACACTTTGTCATCTACCTCCTTCCAGTGTTATCCCTAAGGATAGTACTGGTGTACCATACAGTTTGAAATGTATTCCTGATAAAGCTCATCCTCTGTCCCATTCACCAGTTCTTCTCCCTCTCATGATGCTTATACCACTCAGAGGGCAAATGTAATCTCTTCATTATCAACTCTACTTTACTGAAGAGTCACTGAAATATGGATTGCCTTTGAGCCGATTTAAAGCAAGAACCCCCTTTCTCTCTCTCTCTATAGATGTGGAAAAGAGTTTCAGGAATCTACTAATCTTCTAAAGACTCAAGTCCACTACCCCAGGTGAGTTTAGTGGAAAAAACCTCTCTGAATTCAGTGTCACACTAGAGCTTACACATGATTTAAGTAAAAGGAGGACCCAAGGTTAGATATCTCTAAGCCTGTCCTCTTCTGGCACTTGCTAATTTCTTACACCTCAGTCTTGTCTTTTTCTACAGTTTGTCTTCCTACCCTGCCCAGTTGTCTTAGCTATAAAGTAGCAAACTTGCTTGGTACATTAAATGTTTCTCCATTTGTTTTTCTGGGTGAGTTCCAAATCCTGGACTCAGTTTGAGTGGACTTGGACTGCCCTAATATCACCAAGACAAAAGTTTCTCTGCAATTACAGCACTTAAGGTGGCTTTTGTATAAATTTTGGCTTATTCACAAAACTCTAGGATACAAAAACACTGACTGAAGTTCACCCCTCAAGCTAAGTATATATTCCCATTAGTAGCCATTAAAATTCAATACCTACATTTTTACTCAATCCACTGGGATCTGCCTAATGTTAAACAACTCCAAATCAAATGCAACTAAGACCAGAACTACTGTATACTTTAGTTGGCAGTTAGATTACATTATTTAGCCCTCATTTCATATTACCTTTCTTTTAGAAAGTTGATTAATGGCACCTTAAAATTTTGGAATATGTTTTTCCTGCTCATCCCTTATCCATATTTTAATGTACTTGCTTTAAGTGATGATTCTTGTGCAGTATAGGTCATTGCCATAAGAAATCAGAATGCTGCAAAGAAGACAATCAACTCATCAAATAAGCTCAAATTCGGACATGGAAAATGTGACTGATTTAGTATTCTTTTCAGTTTGGGGGCCATACTGTGGGTAAACTGAAAAGGAGGGATACAGTAACTGGTACAAATTCAAGTACATGCTTCCAGAACATAGAAAACAATCCATTTTTATCTCCAATAAATTTTCAGAACAAAAGAAGAAGGAAAGGTTCACTCAGGTTTTCAATGCCAGGGTGGAGAAGATTCCTGGTTGAGGATTTATAGTGGTTTTTTTTTGTTTGTTTGTTTGTTTGTTTGGTACCAGGAATCAAACTCAGGACCTTGCGCTTACCAAGCAGGCACTTGTGCCACTGAGCTGTATCCCCAGCCCTGAGGATTTATAGTGTTTAAGGTTATCTGACCCATGGCTGAGTTAAGTGTTCACAAAGAGAAGATGATACTGGGAAGCTTATAGTTTGAAACTTCATTTTCCTTCCTGGATTAAAGAAAAAACAGTCTGAGCTGTTTTTAAATTAGACAGCTAACAAGAAAAGAAGGGTAAATGGGAAAAATAGAATGCGAAATTAAAAGAAATCTTAGATTCAGGTTCCACTAAATATGAAGTTACTTCAAAAACATTAAATTCTTATAGCAATGCCAAGAAATTTACAGGTCCTTTGTGGGATACAAGAAGGTTCTTTTAGATTGATTTGTGGAGAGTAAGTGCTTTAACTTACACATTACTACACTTAGCATACCCACAAACTAGCCCAAGTATTAGTATTTCAGTTTTCCTAACAAGGGAAAGAAAATAGATGCAATACCCTTGCTGAAGGCACAAATTAGTACAGAAGGCTGGAATACAATTTATTATTTTTGACTTTCTATAATTTTCATTTATCAAATTACTACACCATTTAAAATTACTTTATTATTGAGATATAAATTTTTTGTTTGTTGATTAAAGATGTCCTGAAAAAAAAATCTATTCTATTATTTCCTTGGCTTTCACTGATGTCTTGGGGCAGTTTTCTTTTATTATTAATCTAAGTTATATTTTAAGTCTCTAGGAAGAAAAGAGACAGAGAGGTGCAGAGGGACAGTCAGAGATCTATGTAGCAAGACAGAAAAGGAGGAGGGGCCAGAGGACAGGACAGAGTTGGTACTGTAACCACAGAGTTATGACTCAACTATGATAACACTAAATTTCCAGAAATTAATCCCTTCAAAAAACATGTTCAGAAGACTGCAGGGCACAAATTTGTCCTTCTTTGCTGTCCTAGAGCAAGTCTATTACAAAAAACTCGGGCAACCAAACAAAACCCCCAAGTAACAATAAACATAAATTCCAGCCACTCTTTCTACCTGATCTAGTCAACTCTCATATCTCAAGAAAGAAGAATTCAAACCTCAAGAATGTATTTACATAGTATCATGGCTTATTATAAAGTCTCTTTTTGCATTTAGAAAGTCAACATATGAATGCTCCTACTTATAGAATGGCAGGATATGGTGGAAAACTATAAAAATAGAAGGGAAGTTGAGACCCTGGCCTCACTAGCTATTCCTCTAGACATTTTTGTGAACCTCATTCATACTCAAATTGGCTTGGGTCTTACTCAGAGGATGCCTTCTGAGCCCTCCAGGATATGCTGGGGCAATTTGTGAATCTATTCTTTTTCACTCAGTGTGAACTCAATGACATGTATAAGCCTCCAGAGGCTCAAAGCAAAAGGGAAAGAAAGATTCAAGGAAAGGAAAAAAATTGCCTAGAAACCAAGATAGTTCTTTCTTTTCTTAGTTCTTTGCTCCGTTACGTAGTACATGGGTGAGTTGCAGCACATGGCAGCTGATAAAACACCCAAGTGGTCTGCATCCAGGAATAAATCTTCTCTTTGTGGCCCCAGAGTGAAGACAGGGCAAGAGTCGTTGACTGTTCCTCTGTTTGGGGTAAACCTGGCTATAATGTATTGGGTGGTTCAGAGAGAAAAAAACCCAAAAAAAAAAAAAACAGAAAAAGCTGCACTACCAGCAGTGCTTAATAATGTGGGGTCTCCTTTGATCACCTTTGTGGAAAAGTTAGGTTTTAACACCTGAGTTAAAACAAACATCTCAGAGTGGAGTTATTTAAAGATAAATTGTCCAAACCTGGCCCTGATTCCTTAGGGCTTCTTGTTTGGATTTAACCCATCATGTTCTGATTGGCTATGTACAAGGTACCAAATTAGTCAACTTCTTCCTTCTTTCCTGTATCATAAAGTCCTCTCCTGCTATTCCTGGACAGTAATCAATGAATGCTCTGGGATCTAGGAAGAAGGATGGACAAGCTGGATGAGAGAGCTGGTAGGGAAGAGTCCCCCAATGTCTCCCTTTATCAGGATTTTGGGAATACACTAGCCTCAAATCTTTGAGGGTCTCAAAACTTAACAGGTGAGACACTGATGAACAAAAGTAGCAGCGAGATTTCCTTAACCTTCCATTTTCACAAAATCTCTGCAAGGTAAGAGACTATCTGCTTCTCTTCTGTTGTATGTTTAGTTTCTTTACATACAACCTGTGATAACCAGGCTAAGAAAGGAGCCTCTCAACTTGTCCCTGGTCCCACCCACTGAAGAATACTGTACCCAAAAATGAAATGGTTGTAATGAAAAAAATAGAATCTTTTTTAAAAAATCAAAATTATTTTAAAATTTTGTCCCCCTATGCCAGGTGAGACCTAATTTCTCTAGGGAGTTTTTATAGAAAATGTGGGTAGTTCATGCACACCTTAGAACTCATTTCAGATCATCTTGTGAAGATCATCTGGTGAGTTCCAGGCTATATTTTATTAGAATGCAGCATTTACTAATAGCAGAGAACATGGGAAAAGTAGTCAGGCCAGCAAATAAGCTCGGATTGGGTGGATTTAACCACCCAGGGAGTTGGGTCTGTGCTCACATGCAGCCAAAGGCTCGGATAGGAGATTCAAGGACACTCCAGTCATCTTGTAGGCTGTAGGGAGAGGTGGGGTGGATGTGTGCAGAGAAGGGAGACACTGGCTAAGGGTAGAATACGAGGTCTTCCCTTTGTGGCCTCAGAGGCAAGGGAGGGAAAATTCCAGGACATCTGGAATCAGCTCCCAGACAATATTTTGGTGCTTTCAGTACTGTTGGGGACGGTGAATGGTATGAAGTCTGGAACTAAAGTAGATTCCTCATCTAGAAGAAATGCACAGCCTGCTATTACACAAGTGTCTTTATGGCTCATGTGGAGCCCACAGGATGCCAGAGGATCCACTGACCCTGGATTATAGGGTACCTTGGCTGGACCCCTCCTCCCATATGTACTCATATAGTCTTCCTGTGTTCCCCACCCACAGCCTGTCTAGGGTCTTGGATGAAGAGAGGGATATCTGAACACAAACTAGCCATGACATCTTCCTATCTTGGCATCTCTCCCTGCAGTGTATTTTCTTCCTTCCCTCTTTTACTCTCCTCTCTCACTCTCCCTTGTTTTGAGGAGATGACTAATGCTGGCAAGGGAGACTGGATATCTGACTAAAGAATCTTCTAGGGGACCTTCAGTGCTCAAGTTTATCATGCGTATGTCACAAGATGTTGCTGTAATTCTTAATGCAAAGAGAAGAATGAATTTTGAAAAAGGCCTCTTCTCAAGGGAAAAAGAGACATAACTTAATACCTACAAAGGGAAGTCCTGGTTGGCTTCAAAGGGGAAAGTTGGTGTTCATGTTTATACCAAGACAGTAGGAAACCAAAGATGATTAGGATAAGTTTGTGACTTAACAGAAAATTCTTTTATTTTCTTAATAGAAAGGTAAGTGCAAGCTAAGAGAAAAGAAATCCAATTTCTTAATCAAGGGAAGTTGAATAGAAATAGGTTCATAATTTCATTAACACTAGAAAAACCAGGTGCTTGGGCAGGTGGTCACATCTGCAGCATGTTACAATGCTTTTTTCAGGACTCAAGTTTGTGTGTTCAAGGAGTTCAGATGTGCAAGGAGGTCTCCCGGCACAGTAAATTTGGTATTCAGACTATTGGTCATAGGCAAATTCCATTTTTGGTAATGGTTCTGCCAGCCCACATTTCTCCTATTGTTGAAAGGGCATGAAATATCACTGCAATTCACTTTCTCCAAATACCATCCAACAACCTCACTGGCTGAGCATAGTCACCGTGTTGTGGGCCTTCCCCTAAGGAAAGCTCTGTGTCCAAGATGGAGAAGAGCAATTCTGTGGACACAAAGCAGGCCATAGCAGCACTTTGGCATGAAATCAGACTGAGCAGAAAAAAAACCTTTCAAACAATATCATGCCCAGCACTGGAGTCTTATGTAATGATCATGCCTGTGAGGATCATTCCTAGCTGACCTCAAGCACACAAGTGCTGAGTGGGAGAGGAAAATGAAAATGGAACAGGGTGTGAGAGAAGGAGACCTGTGTCTGCCACTTTGGCCTCCTGTCCTGGGATTACTTTGGTTTGGGGCTGACCACGGGTCATGAGATTCCATCGACATCTAGAAGAGAAGACAGGCCATGACAAATGGTTCTCAGCCTGAATTAGGCTTTTCAGAGCTGAGGCAGCTATGCCATATTTCTATTTTAATAGGGGCTGCGGGTGGGGGGGATGACACAAAAAAGAAAACCAACTTCATAAGAAAAGAGAAGTTCCTTCTAAGAAAAAGGACTGCTCCTACCCAAGAGTTCCAGAGGACTCTGAGCTGGAGGAGGATAAAAAGAGCATCTATCGGCTGAGCTCTCAGTGCAGGCTCCTCAGGCCATCCCCCATCCAAGGAGGTGTTGTTTGGCAGGCTGAAAAAGGACAGTCCCGCCTGACACCCCTCTCCAGGGCATTCATTCATGTACTGTGATGGTACTAGGGAGAGGCTGAGGGCCATCTGCATTGCCACCAGACAGAAATGTGACGTGTTCCACAAAATGGAACCATCTACTGTCTAGTGAAGCAGCACTGACTGACCAAGAAAGGGCCCTCTGTTTCTTAGTGCTGCTCTGCTTGGGGAATTAAGAATGACATAGTGCCCTGAGGCTGTCTTCTGCCCAGCTTTTATGCTGGGGAGGGGTGAAGCCCAGTCCTGGCACAGGGAATGTTCAGGACGAGTGAGCCCCATCAGAGCCTACTTTGCTAGAAGGGGCAGCCTAGGTTGAGGCTGAGGTATGTTTACTAATCATCTTATAGCATCCTGATCAACCGATCCTCAACCTGAACCAGCTGCAGACACCAAGGGTTCTCCATCATAGGAGGCCCTCAGTCAACTCAGACTCACCCTCACTGATGTGTCTCTTTATCAGCCTTTTCCATCTTTATAGAAGTTTGGTCATTGAGGGTGGCCCCCTAAATGCATGTGTTCTGTCCTCTCAGGGGAGGAAAGGCTGAGCCTCTGGAACGTGGCCTCACTGAGCTGAGCTCAGCACTAGCTTGCTATACAGGGGGGCCCACTGCTTCCAGCCCAGAGTGTGGCTGACCTTCAGCCAGAATGTGCTGGTACCAACACAGTACTGTTACCAATACTGAGTTTCTTCTATGCTGGGTGGACAGTGGATTCTATCTTGAGTTCCTTAGATTACCCCTACTCTCGGGGTTCCCCCATGACCAGCATCTAAAGAGCCAATGCTGGGAACAGTATAGGCCTCCTACACCATGACTGAACGCTGCGTGGGTTGGTGCCCTGGTCAGAGGTGTTGGTTGATCTTACCTGAGCCACAGGCACCTCTGTGGGCCCTGGGGACTGCCTTTACCCATCCTAACTACTGTAGTACCTACTAGGAGGGTGCAGGATCGGGGACTGTACCTACCAGCACCTCCTGTTCTGTTTCTTTGGCCCTCACCTCCATGGTACGGCTGCTGGGCTATGGCTTTTCTCACTCAGACCAGCCCTTGCTGCTGTGGCCACCGCACCCTGACTCCTTCCACTTCAGCTCTTTCCTCCTTCCCTGCCTCCCGCCCTTGGTGCCCAACACTCCTGACTTAGCTTGTGCTTCTTTGGGGACAGCAAGCCACAGGATAACACATGAGATGCTACTGCATTTGCCCTGGTGGCAGTGGTGCCAGCTGATCTTGGGAGAGAGCCGGTGGGGAGGAGATTACTCTCCAACAGTCAGTCTCCACTGTTCCCCAGGTAAAAGCCAGATTGTCTTCCAGGCTGTACAAGGCAATGAGTACAGACACAGGCCAGCCAGATCCCTCCAAGGGTTATAGAAACGTGGCACGGGGCAAGGGAAGGCAAGCCACCCTCACGTCCCTTCTCCCATGGGAATAACCCTCTAGATTCCTGTGTTTTCTTTCCCCAGCAAAGAGGCAGAACTATGGCAGTGCCTGCCTTGCAAAGGGAAATAAAGCAATTTGGTGGCTTTGACTGGTTTTCCATTTGTCCTTGGCTTCCTCTTCTCTCATTATGCATGGAGTCCTTCCATCCTCCTCCTCCCTCTTCCTCCCCCCCGGGCCGCACTGGCTTCCCAATTCGGTCTTGGTTTTCTCCCTGTGAGAGAAGAGCATGCATCGGAGGGGGGAGCAGCCTCTAGCACTTGTCGTCTTCTTCTGTGTCACTCAGAAGGTCGCTGACAGCTCCACACATCATGCCAGGCCCAGGCCCCCCACGCCTCCGTCGCCGATAGTGCCCATTGGGCATCTGCCAGCTGTGCCGCAGGGGTGGGGCTGAGCCGATGGTGTTGGACCGGCCCAGGCTTGTAGCCACGGCCGCTTCGAAGGTGAGCGTCTCCTCCTCGCCACAGTCTGAGGCGTGGGAGTCTTCATGCAGGGCCAGGTAGGGCTCGGAGATATAGCGCTGTGGGGACGAGTGCTGGCCCTGCTGGGGGTGAGGGGAGTTGGAAGACTCGGTCAGGCAAGCATTGTTGCTCTCCAGTGCCTGGGAGGTCAGAGGGGAGCCACCCTCGCTTCCATCAGCTGGTGGAGAGATACTGCCAGCATGTCGCATCAGAGAACTGTAGGAAAGGAAGGGCCGAGGCTTTGGTGGGACAGGTGGGAGCTGCCGACGACTTCTTCTCGGGGTGCTGGTGTCAGAAACGGAGGGGATGGAGCTTTCACTCAGGGAACCCGTTCCCTGTACAGCAGAAGAAACATGGAGTGTGAAACTGTTCTTGCATGAGTCCCATTTGGGGCTTGTTAAGATACCTGAACCTTTCTATAGAGGGCCCTTGGCATCCTAGAGAGGAAGCTTGAGAGGGAGCCCATGCACTAGTCACATCCCCCTGGGAGACAAGGGTCAAAGGAGACTGAGGAGTCACACCATCCAGAGCAGGACACCTCAACTTTCCACATGCAGGTGCCTCTCTGCAGCTGCAGGTCTGGAGGAAGCATTGAGGTTTCACATCTCTCATGAGCTACTAGCTATTACTTTGGCTCCTTGGGACAAACAGTTTGGAAGCTCTAGGTCCATAACAAGTGGGACACAGAAATAAAGACCTTAAACTTTTGCACAGACAACCCTATGAAAGGTGGAGCATCACTAATGCTCCACAGTTGCTCTGTCTGGGGAACTTGTAGGAAGGGGCTTCTAAGGGAACTGCAATGTCCTTCCTTCACCTTTACTTTGCTTTCCTGTCTTCAGTGGCTTGCTGACCTCAGTCTCTTTGCTCAACACATGTATGTTGGCTCAGGCCTCATTTGACTTGCTCACCTAGTTGCAAGAGTATCTGAACCCAGGCTTTGGTAAATAAAGTCCAGGACAATATTTCTCAGGGTGTGTGTGACCTGTGAACTACTTGCTCAGAACTTCTTGGGTAGGGATTCTTTCAAACTTCCTGCAGGTAAGTCTGCAGATTTCTAGGTCTCGCTTTCAGCTAGAATGCCTGAGGTTCTGGGAATACAATGACAGAAAGCTCTGTAGGACATTCCGCCCTGCAGTAATGGCTGGTCTTTAACTCTACTTTTCTAAAAATCTGCTTTAGCAACCCCTCCTTTTCCCACCTGACCATTTCTGCCGAAGTGGGTCTCCCCATCTGAGCCAGAGCCCTGAGTAGGGCTAGAAGTGAGTAGTACACACTGGGCTGAGGAATACTTTCATAAGGCTGATATTTCTTAGACATTGCCTGGGGTTTCAGCAGAAGGCTGGAAGGAGAGACGGGTACAACGGCACACGCCTGTGATCCTGGCTACACAGGAGACTAAAGCAGGAGGATCACAGGAGAGGAGTGATGTTTCTCTTAGGAAGGCTGGACAGCAGGTGAACCAAGTGGAATTGCTCTAACTTGTGAATCACTATTCCCACTAATACTAAGGATTACAAGAGACAAAGTTTTCTGGCTAAAGGACTATCCTTTCTTACCAACTCTGGATGGATTTGCACCCCTGGATTCTGAGGACTGGAATGGAATGACCTCAGGACTCTATCGCCTTTCTTTGTAGGAAAATCTGGGTTTCTGTGAATCCATATTACTTCTGAATTTGTAAGCATAGAGCAGATAAACTCTCTGCCCACTGGGTGTATGTTCTTGTGAAATTTGGATCTTTGTGGGTGTTGAAATAAGGCTGCAGGATGCCCATGTTCTGCTGCCAATGTCCTAGTCCTCTGTTCCCTGTCCCATATAGAAGGCTCAACTACCTCTCCTTGCTCACCTGTCTGTTGGGTGTCTGTGATCTGCCTTCACTGGGTGACCTGGACTGATGGCGCTCTGGGGAGTCCCAGTCAGCCTGAGTCCCTCGCTCCTCGGAATTGCAACGGGAGACATCAGGAGAGAGAAGATGCTTTCGCTCTTTGGATCGTCCTCGCTCCCTGCCCCCTGAGCGATGGGTGTCAGACTTGTGGCCTGTGAGAGGTGATAAAAACAACTGGTTATAGCTCAGCTACTTCTGACTGCTGAAGGTAAACTCACCAGGTATGGCATCCCAACTTGGAATTAGGCAGTCTTATGAACTGCATGTGTGTGTTCTGCAAAATTCAGTGTGGAATCCTAATTCCAAATCAAATGGTTTAGGAGATGAGGTCTCTGAGAGATATTAGGTTGTGAAGGTGGAGCACTTTTGATGAGATAAATGTCCAGAGACAAGAGCTGGCTTCATCTCTGCTCTCCATCATGAGAGAATACTCTGGGAAGATGGCTATCTGCAAACAAGGAAGAGGGACCTCGCCAAACACCAGGTCTTTTGTTACCTTGAACTTTGATTTCGCAGCTTTTCACTTAAGCAACCTAATGTCTCTCACTTAATCATACCATACTTAAAAGATGGCAGTCTTTCATAGAAGCCTGAACTAAGACAGGTCCCTAAAGAATCTTGACTTCTCTAGGAATCTTGTCAATGGATGATCTGGAAGGAAAGAGGGAGAGAAAAGCTAGAAAATTACCCTTTTGTGAGAAGGTAAGTCTGCAAGTTGCCACTAGAAAGATATGTCAAAGAATGTGACTCTTCCGTTTATGTTAGACACAATAAAGTCAGACTCCTTGCCAAGCATATGGCTCAGAATTCTCTGTCCTATGCATGGGTGTGTAGGTTTGGGGAGGGAAGATGACACCAAGCAGAACGGAATTACGAAATTTCTAAATAAAATAATGGCACTTAATGTATTCCCATGGTGAGAACTACAGGACTGAAGTTAAAGGAGCTCATTCTAGTCCCAACTCTGTCATTTACTAGCCTTGTGATATGGGGCAGACACTGACTTTTAACTTCCATTCCTTCATCTAGTGAAATAGGTTGAAACAGACTAATGGTTTTCTAAACTTTTAAAAAATTTATATCACTATAACCCTTTTTTCCTAGGGAAAAAAGCTTAAGTGAAACCCAAATATATAATACAATTCCAGGAAAAATCCTATCTGAGTTGAAGTGTAGTTGGTGGCAGAAGCTCAGTACCTTCTTTCAAGGGACCTCTAAAACATTCCTAAGAAATCTCAATGGTTTTGTAGAAGGCTACTCGAATATCTCAGTTCCATTGATTGTATCAGTTCTATACTCCAGAAGGAGAAAATTATGTCAGCATTTGTGATGAATACAGGTTCTTGAGCTTTTGTATGATATTAGTCAAATATAGGAAACCCCTACAGTAAAAAGCATTCTTTGCTCGCTTTCTTAAACCCTTGTCTTTATCTAGTTTCTGTTCCAGTCATCTTCGCTCTTTGCCAGAATAAGTGTATTAGGGTAGGAGTCCACTGCCCAGCCAGTTGTCTGCAATGAGGTAGACCCTAAAGACCACCTTACCTGGGGCTGGGGATTTAGCTCAGCGGCAAAAGCGCCTGCCTGGCAAGCACAAGGTCGTGAGTTTGGTTCCCGGTACCGGAGAAAAACCAAAAAAAAAAAAAAAGACCACCTTACCTGAGTCTGAGTTCAGGCGGTGGGCCGACAACCGCAGGGAAGAGTGGTAACTCCGGCGTCGAGACTTGTACGTATTTTCACTGCTTCGCTCCATGGAGAATTCCTCCAACCACGAGGAATTTGAACGCTTATCCCGAATGGTAGAAAATGAACGTCTCATGGAGCTAGGGTCTGTCACCACCTAGAAATGGGAGCCCCCAGAGGAATATAGATTTTGGATTAATTATTTCTAAAAGTGCTGAGGTGGGACTGAGACTTCTGAGAACTGCAAATTGGAACGCTGGGAAGTAGTAATCACTCTTGAATTCCTGTGTTCAGACCTTAGCTAGAGAGGCTGATCTAAAAGTGACCTCATATTATGTTAACATAGTCACTGAAACTGGCCTATGATCTTCTCTTTGTGCTCAAGGATGCTAAGATCTGAGTGTACTAGGGCAAAGTCATGCAGAACGCAGGCAGGCATTGTGCGAATGTCCCACAGAGCCATCTACCATAGGGGCTCAGTCAGAACTTGCTGCAAATACTGAGCCACTTGGAAAGATTTGAGGGCAGTTGTCAAAAAGGCTACACTATGAAGGATGCATAGCTTTGCCCTTAATGTTTTCCCCTCTTACCTATGAAGGCCCTGCCCACCAACATTATAGGCCAGGAGAGCTTGCAATTTGACAACTACTAAGACTGCATCACTCTCCTTCACCATTAGTCTTACCCTGCCCCACCTTAAACTCTGGCATTTGGATTTGCCACAGATGTTAAAACAGATCGACAAAAACTTCTTGTCTCTGTCAAAACCTGATGTAAGACAGACAGACAAAAAGAAGCCAGGAAAACAGACAAAGAAATGAGGCATGGCCTGCATTGGTTAAGACAGTCCTTACATAGAGTTGTGTGCATACATAACTGCGTAAATCCTAGAGGAGTCAGAAAAGGAGAAAAGGACAGGAAAGTATGCAGAAAATCCTGGAAAATATTCTTTGCTTGGCTGGTTCAGTCTTGAGAATGCTTAATCCAGCAAGAGGGAGTTTATGGCATGGTGTTGACTTAGCCTACTGAGGGCAAGGATTCACCAAAAACACACTGGAGAGAAGTGCGCTCTATCACAGAAGGGCTACAATTAGGTTTTGTTTATAGTGAAAGACTGAGGGAAAGTCGAGGGCTCACCTGAAAATATTGAGTAACCCACCTACAAAAGCCCAGGATGCCACTGCATGAGGTAAGTGGTGGTTGCTTTTTACCTGGGGATCCATAGTCAGACGTGGCATAGAGGATGCCCTCCCAGATCCCGCATGCTCCTGGGTATCCGAAGGAAGGTAGATGCCATGGTTAGAGGACTGCACGCTTTTTAATTCACTAACCTCTGGCTCCTGGAAATAAACACACAGCCAAGCTTGTGGAACTTGGTTCCATCTCATTATTTCTCACCTCCAGTGGACGATTCTACCTTCTCAAGAATGGCTCTCAAAAGGGGCACTGGCATCTTCAGGGTCTCAGGTATATGTGTATATATGTATAGGTTTTTGAGTACATGTGTGGTATACCAGATGTCCCAAATAGAGAGCTCTATCTGGGGTTGGGAAGTGAAAGGCGCCTTTTCTGGTCAAATACCTTTGTATTTACTAAGCAGTGCTTTCAGATATTATAGCTTTATGAAACAATCATTTTTGGTAATAGCACATTTTAGATCGGAGGTTTACTTTCTGAGAGATCTTTATGTTTGGTTTGCTATTTCAATCTGAAGAAGGCTTGTATGTGTTAAATAGGAACCAGGGTTACAAAGGAAATCACTTATTATCTGATACCAAATTTATCTTCTCAAACTTTAAGATGCATGACTTTATTAGGTAAGAGTTTTTTTTAAATTATTGAAATCATCCAAAAATGTTGTGGGTGGCCGGCATCTGTCAAGATATTCCAGACTTGCACAGTCCAATAGAAATATAATACAAACCACTTACATAATTTAAAATTTCTAGTAACCACAGTTTTAGGAACATATTTTATTTAACCCAATATATCCAAATATTATCAGGGTAAATACAAAAATTAATAGGATATTTTACATTTTATTTGAACTCATCACATCTCAAGTGCTAAAAAGCCACTAATGTCTACTATATTGGACAGTGTCCCTGTTAGAGGGCTGCATGGGAAACTAAGTTTCCACCAAACTCCTTTGTTATTTTCTTTGTTAAAGAATGTCAGTTTGGAAGTTGTACATAGTCTACAAAGATAGCTAGTGCCACCACATAAATAATGGAGCTGACTTGGAGATTTGGACATGGGCCACCCAACAAAGAAATTTAAGAATATCTTGGGTATCTAGAGATTGTACTAGCAAATAGCTATTTTGTATTTAGGAAATGATGCCCTGGAAATGGTTGTATGAGTAGGTATTGCCCAAAGGAAAGGTTGTCTGGGACAACCCACTCAGCCTTCATACCCTTTAGCTGTGTGGCTCTGATGTGCATGAGAGGAGTGCCTTCCCAGGATGTGATGTGTGTGTTGAGGAAGTTATAGTGCTTGCAGTCAAAGCTTTCTATGGCACACAGTTCTGACTCCAAACAGACGAAGTAACAACACTGCAGTCTACAGGTGTCAAAGGTGGTGTGAGACGCACACTCCATATGCACATACACAAACCATGGCCACACCTCAGGATATGGAGCAGGGATCCTGAGGGGCCTGGAGAAGTACACAGTGGTGAGTGTGTAGCACGGCTAAGACCTGAACTAAATTACGGACACCAGCACTGACAACAAGATGAACACATATCCAAAAGCCCTGGCACTAGAGCTCAGCCTTGGGGAACCTGCAGAAATGATGAGGTAATAAAACGTCTCCCTGGGGGGCAGGAAAGAACATATTACTGAGATTTTTTCTTTCTCACCAGACACATCACCAGGCAAACAAGCTGTAAAATTCAGAGAAGCCCTTTTAGGAATCAAACTATCTGTAGCTATTAGTCCCTAGGCATTGGTGCTAAGTTCCTCAGATGGGAAGGCAGGGAATTACTCCAAGAAATCCTACCCACCTCACCAAGAATATCCTCAGGCAATCGGTTATGCACCAGCAGTGTCTGGCTTAGCTTTCTCCCCAACAAAATCATACATGCTTCTCTGCCTCAGCAATCACAGGAGACACAGTATCCACTTGAGCTATGAAGGTGTTTTCCCTCTCTAAGAGGTACCCATTCCATCACACACACCCTATCAAAGCAGGCCACACTCACTCTATAATATCCATTTGAGATGGCTCTGGGGTATATAGTAGTAGTGGGAGGGACTGGCAGGGAAATGAAGGGAACAGAAGAACCGCAGATGAATCAAAGTGATGTGGAACTCACTTAGTGCTAGCTATCTACACAGACATTTACAAAGATTGTTTTGTCTTTTTTTTCTCTGATCTAATTAAGTTTGAGAGGGAACTTGAGCTCAGGGCTCCTGAACTATGAATTATAGTAAAATAGATCAGCTTTAGGAATCACAGTTTTAGCTCTGTATTAGCATAACCAAAATTTTAATTTTCCCTCTTTTTTTCAAGCTTTAACTTGATTTAATAGACTTCTCAGAAATTTCACTACCTATGGTAATTTAAAAAGAACTCATTTTGGGCTCAGGAAAATGACTTTAAGGGCCTGTTAGAGTGTATCTGACATTGCAGAATTTTGCCTGAATCTACAGAGAGCAAAGGTGGTCTTCTGTACCGACTAGCAGCCAGTTAGTTACTGTAGCAGATGGTGTGACTGAGTGCTAGAGGAGGCAGGCTTCCCTAAGGAAAGGCCGGGGCCAATCTGCGTCCCTACAAGCAGCCCCTGGTATGCCATGCTGCATGGCTGATGCCACTCAATCTATGAGGATTTATCTTAAAGCTTCCTGTCAAAGATTTTATACATGACTTCTGCTCCTACATTTGATGCCTAAGGACATAAACTAAAAGGACTTGGCCTGAAGAGGTATAAGTAATTGCAGAAGGGAAGTGGTTCTTGGTTAGTAAAACCTTGAGGGTAAATATTCTCAGGGAACATGAGAAACTGTACTACATAAGGGGCAAAGACAGAAAATTTCTAGGGTAAGTGGCATAAAAGGTTTCCCTGACCAGTGATGGCTATGGAATAAAATTTGAAACTAAGTATGAGAGGAATTAGGAAACCAAGGAAGTATTTGCAAGACCATATAACTCATTCATTCACCAGAGATTGCTGTTCCTGGAATTGTCCATCATCGGCTGGGTCCATACAAGCCAACTGGAATATTTCCTGAGGGGAGAGTGGACTCATGGAAGGATATCCACTCCGGCCACTCCTGAAAAGCAATGCCAAATTCAGAGAAAATGAGAGTCACAGAGAGAAACAGTCATGTCATAACTTCCTCTAACCATTCCCATCCCAAACAAGACCTCCATCCCAGCAAGGGCAGCATCCTCTACGTTCAGTTGGCCTGGTAACTTACAGGTCGCTGACCCTAAATAGAAGCTTTAAAAGTAAATATTGAGAAACTGATGTTTTCAACTTGCATTTGCAGTCATTCATTATTCTGCTGGTGACTAACATATCTACGACAAATGACATCATTTGTCACACTCATCCAAAGGGAAGACCAATGCTAGATTGTAAATCTGCTTCTGTTGAGATTCCCCATTGGCCAAAAATGTGATAGTATAAGCAATGAACAGCTTGTTTAACAATTAATCAGCCTTGGTCTATAAAATTTTTTCCCACAGTCTCAGTAATATGGTCCTAACATGCCAATAACATCCCTGTGCCAAACTCAACTCAACCCAATTCAACTCCATGAACATTTACTGAAGGACTACTCTGTGCTAGACATTGGGTCTATTCGTTTATGACCTGGGGGATGATTTCAGAGATGATGCTGGGGAGGTGTAAACCTCTGGGTTGATGACTATGTCAGAGGAAATTTAAAATAGTGATGAGGTAATAGATCCAGCATGAAGTCTCTCAAATGTTTAGAGAGCTCAAAATGAAAGTATGAAGAGCTGTCACAGAGTGGTATCATTAAACCACTGTTTGGTACTTTCAGATGCTCTTAGACAGTCAGATCTACTGGGTTTATTAGAAGAAAAAGAGGCCTGACCTTTTCTGCGAATTTGGCATCTGTCGGCCTTTCTGCCATCAGTACAGTAACAACTACCATGTATCTGATCGAGAATGCAGAGTGAGCTCCTGGATCATGGGAAGAGGGTCAAGCTAAAGTCTAGGAAGCAGCTCTATCAGAGGTGATATATATCTGGGAGGAGATGTGACACAATCTCTCCCTGCGTCAGCCTAGAGAAAGTCATTTCACGGTGGAGTCTACTAAGTATAACTCTGCATCTAATAGAAAATTGGGAACATGAACAAGGATTTCTGGTTACTTAAAAAATAATCCATAGGTGCAGTCTTATTTAATGTCACAGGGAAAGATGAAAATACCAATTACCCAATCTGTCTCTGCTGCCTGTGAGGGCTTTAGTTGAATTGCCACAACTGCTATGGAGTCATCTGATACTTAAGTGAATTTTTTATTGTCAGTCTCTCCTTGATGTACCCTCTCCTAAAATCAACTGGGAATGAGATGAGTGCTGCAAATACAGTACAAGAAATGGGTTCCCCTTTCTTCTATGGAGAATAACTAGAATCTTCAGTAGGTGGAAAAGACCCATTATAGTTTGAATGTGTTTCCTAAAAAGTTCATGTGTTGGCAATCATTCATAAGGTTATAATATTAATGGAATTTGAAGGTGGGGCCCTTATGATTTGATAAGGTCCTGAGGGAGTGCATAATGGTGGTAGTGACTGTATAAGGAGAGGGAGAGAGACCTGAGCTAGCAAGCTTCCTGTCTCACTGAGCAATGCCCTATACCATAATACAATCCAGCAAGAAGGTCCTTACCAGGCTCTTGGACTTCCCAGCCTCCAGAAATGAGAGTCAAATCAAATTCTACTCCTCATAAACTCAGATATTTTGTTATAACAACATAAAACAGACTGATAAGACTCAGAATCACCAAACAACTCCAAAGAGTTGAAATAATTTGCACCCAGAGTGACATCCTGTTTTAGAAACCTTGTCAGGCTTTTATTGCTTTTAGGATACAGTCCAGAATCCAGCACATGGCCTCTCTCATCATCTGACCACTGTCTCACCAATTCCTCAGGTATCACTTTACCTTTTCTTCCCAGAATTTTGCATACTCATCTCTTTCAGTTTGTTAAATATGCCAGGCTTTTTCTTTGTGGTCAAAAGTTCAATACCGGCTATTCCCAGAGAGCAGGATGCTTCTCTCCAACTCCCTTGTCTTCTGTAAGCTCTTTTCATGTAACATCAAATTTCTTCCCAAAAGTCTAAAAAAATTCTTAAATTTCTTCCCCAAAATCTCTTACTCCCACACTGGACAGATTTCTCTCTTACTACCACTCATATCATTTTACATTTATTTTTTTTCTAGAACTTATTATAACCCATTAAACCACTGCAAATGACAAGTTGTCTTCTTTCCTTTGTAATGTCTGGCTTTGTACTAGGTAGGTGCACGCTCTGGAGAGGGGGCAGGTTCTGCCTACCATGCTCACTATGGCAGCCTTAGAGCTACCTCTATGTAAACAATGGTTGTTCTAGACACACAGAATCCCAAGAATTCAGCCTGCTGTTCCACCCCCAAATTCAGGCTATGACATGAAGGTCACCTCCGAATCTTCCTTCTTCTTTACTCCATGTAGGCAACCAATCACCAGATCCAATCTGTATCTTTTCTGCCTGTCTCTTCTCATTTCTATCCTGTTAGTCCAGGCCACTGTCATTTACACAATTGCAGTGACACGGTAAACAGTATTCTTGTCCCTACAATTGTTCCCCCACAATCCATTAAGTCTAAACAGATTTCATGAAAAGATTTTGAAAAGAGTGACAAATCTGATCTGTCACTCTGAAACATAAAATCCCGTTATCCTAAGATAAAATCTAACTTCTTTATCTTGCTTATAGTCCCAGCCCAAGTAGCTCTCCAACCTATCCCACAAACTCTCCTGCTACAAATATGCTATACAAATTTAAGTTCCTTAAACTTACTCTACTCTATCACCTCCCTTTAAGAGCTTGCCTCCAAGTCTAACTTGCACGTTATTTTCTCAGAGATTCTCCTCAAACCCTAAAACTAGGTGAGTGGCTTCCACTACATGGGATCACCATAGGCTACCCTTTCACATTTTAATCCATGTCACTCTTGCAACTTCTATGTCCAAATCTGCCTCAATGGGAACTGTCTGTAATCATGTTTACTGGTTTATCTACAGTCCCCAAGGCAGTGCTTAGGCCATGTGGGGTCATACTGGTAAAATAAATAAATAAGTGAATTGGTAAACATGGAAGAGAAGCTTGAGTGAACCCATGATGTCAGTTGATTTAGATGGCAAATTCCAAGTCTGCTTTCTACTAGCTTGGCTTTAGACAGCTTGTTTACCTCCCAGTTTCCATCTCTTCATTTGTAAAAATGGGGATATTATATACCTCCAGGGTATAGTGGCCTCTGTAATAAGAATCAAGTGAGATCAAGAAAATAGTGTATCTACAAGTATAAACCTCAGGGAAAGATTTCAGTAACTATGGATTCTTTCCCCTTTTGCACTTAGCAGTCACGGCACCCATGAAGAAGTTTATATCTTCTAGCAGAACACTAGAATGATTTGGAAGTGATAACCAAGAATTTAAGAAATGGTTTTTCTTCACAAGAGAACTACAGCTAAGATGCTAGTACATGAAAACAAAAGGCAAGATCGTTTTCCTACTGCTGTTTCACAGTGATCACTTCTCTAAAGCAGGCTGAAATACTAAATATGCTTAGTTTGCTTTTTCTTACCCATACTGACTAATTATTTTGAGATACTCAACCTCAAGAGAAAAATCATTCATCTCAGAGTATAATTTCTTGGGCAATTTTAGGCAGTGAACTCCTGAGCCTGCACAGTGGCCTGGGTGGCAGAATGAAGCAAGAGGGCTGTGGAGCCTTTGGTTGTACTCACAGGCCTGAAACAGGGTCCTGCTGGAGATAAGGTAGGGCTTTGGCATTAGCAATGATCTCCTGAGGCAGAGATGAGGGCTCCATACGCTGGAACATGGGTGCATTTTTCTGTATAAAAAGAAAATTGCCATGACTTTGTAGGGCCTGCCGTGGAGAAAATACAGCTTACTCAGTTCTAAACATAAATAATACCTTGTTTGGCTAGTTTAGTCTTTGATCTACTTGGTTTATACTCCACATCACTAGAAAGTTCTTGGGACCCTGCACCCCCTACCACACTTGCAGAACACTGTCCTTCAGGAATGTGGAGCCTGGCCCCTTGGGAGTCCACATGACTCCTTGTGATCCACCCACCCACAGGATACTGTCATGGAGTTTCACCTGTTCCTCCAGCTGCTGCCTCTGCTTCTTTACTTTACTCTGTTTGTAGTAGTCCATGATCATCATTGCTGCATAGATTTTGCCCACAGTCAGGTCGGAGGCTAAAAACACAAATGGGGCTTGGTGGTGAACAAGGAGAAGACAGGTGGGAGGGAACAGGGACACCTCACAAGCTGTGTTATCCATTCTCTGAAGGAGGTGTGCACCCTCGGTCACCCACTCATCCAGTATGTATTGAGACTCTGAAGACACAAAATGAAAAGGCCCTAAATCTGTCCTCAAGTAGTTTATGTATCCACGCAGTGATGATGAGGATAACAATACTGACAGCAAGCAACACACTCTCTACCATTCCAGATGTCTGTATATAAGTAATAAAACCTTCTTCCTAACTGCATGAGGGTTTGCTAAACAGTATTGTGTAGAAGGAAGGAGCTATGCACCCAGAAAGTTTCACTCACAATCACAGTGACCGATCCTAAAAAACTGTTTTCAATTAATCATCAGAGACATAAAAAGTTCCCTAAGGAACTTAGGGAACCTGAGTTCCCTAAGGCTGAAGGAGCGACCTTCTTTCATCTCCTTGATTAGCCCAGGTTCTCCAAAAGATGTAGCCTTGGCATGCTGAGTTAGTGACAGGGACACTCGGGAGGAGACCCCACACCTTTGGGCATGGGCACAAGCAGATCCAGCATCTTCTGGGACAGGTGAGGCCAGATGGCTAAGGTCTCCTTTTGTAGCTCCGAGTCTAGCTGCTGCCTGTCTGCGCCACCTAGAATAAAATACGTTATTAATAAATAAATTGGAAGTGAGATAGAAATAACATGGGCTGAGCGAGTAGGTGGGGGCAGGAGCTGAATCAGCATGGCACCTCATATTCTGAGAGGAAATCCTGGCACTTAGTGACAGTGGATCTTGCAGTACCAGGTCTTCCTGCTGAGAAAGCAGAACACACTTTGGCTCCCATTTTGAGCAACTACGGCATATTGTGCCATAGATCTGAGGTCCTGAAACCAAGATCAACTTCCTCATTGATTCTAAAAGCCTCTGTGGTGCCCAGTGTATCTGAAGGGAAAATAAAAGTTGCCACAAGTAAGCCTTCTCTGCCCTGTTATAGTGCACATATCATCCTTTCAGCTGCCCTAACTCCATAGTCTGAGTAACCTGATTTTAAAAAAGATTTGAATCAGGTAAGAGAGGGCAGGCTGAAGGTCTGTCTAGAAGGAGTAAACCTTTTATCTCCTAGATCACTGAATTAGCAAACAGGATGAGCAAAAGTATGGTGCACCTGCTGCAGAAGGCTTCTCAGATCTTAGAGAAAAGATGTCACATAGGAAAAAATGACAATATTAAATAAATATTCAATGAACAATTATTCTAGTATGCCTCCTATATGCCACATGTGGACTCATCACTGTTAAAACTGGAAAGAGGCTCAGAGATGATCAAGCTATTTCTTTATCCACAGGAAAATGGTAAGGATGAGTATTACTAAGCCTGAGAGGTTATTCCAGGACCCTGATATTTGATCTCCAGGTCACTGCACCATTGTTTCCTTGGCTGGCTGCATGATGATCCAAACAGCTCTGTCCTCTCCCATCCTGCACAGGTTGTTTCATAAAGCCTCCCTTTACCTTTCCTTTTCCCCTTCCTGAGCTGACCTTTGGCAATTTTAATGTCCAGAGCTGTCCGGATCAGAGCCATAAGCGTGGAGGTGAAGTGGACTGTCATATCCTCAGCTACGGGCATGTTCATCAGGACCAATCTCTGTGTGAAAGAGAAAAAAGAAACAGCAGGCAAAAAAAAAAAAAAAAAAAAATCGAGAGATACCTTGGTGAGAAGGGAAGAAAAGTTCAGAGGTCAAATGCACAGACAAAAAAGAAGGGCAAGGATTCCCCACCCCCTGTCCCAGTCCTATTTCCCTGCTTCTCACCGAAGGCTCATTTGCTGCTATTTTTTCTAGGGAATGATGCCAAATTCCAAGAGAAGAGGGTTCCCTAATCATTCTGTAGAACTCCCTCATCAGGAGTCCCAAGAATATCTCTGATTGGGATAGGAAGTGATTTCTAAAAGACGTGACTCAGGGAAAGGAGTCAGCTCTGGGAGGTGGCTTCATTCCCTGTTTCAAAGCTGCATATTTCGACTTGTCCCATGAACACCCCAAACTTGATGGAAAGACAGTATGGGGTAGGGATTTTGCTTTGCTTCTCTGACTAGAATGATGCATCCTAGTGCCCCCTTTTTGAGTCTTTAAAAGGTGAAGTTTGCCAGCATATGATTGACATGCATAAGTCCAACTTATCCAAAGGATGAGGTGGAACAGGATGGACAGGGAAAGAGTGCAAACAGGCTTTAGGAGGAGGAAGAGGACACGGGGAGTGGGAAAGAGTGAGAAAAGAGGGCACAGGCAGGAGCAGAGTGGGCAGGCCCTATTCCCTTCACCCAGAGGAAGGGATCCAACTGAAATGGCCAAATCCACTTTCCAGAGAGTATCTTGCTTTTGGAATTCTTTACCTTTCTTCCCAATCCCTTATCCAGTTCTCCCACCAAACTTTATCCGAGAATTGCAAAGAATTCAGGGTCATATTCTAACACCTGGTGCTTTTGGACGTGGCCATCATGAGCAGAAAGGATACAAGCCCCTAAGCTGTGTGTGAGAAGCCCTACACTGGGGTGGGATGAAAGTCCCTAAATGGCCACGGTCTAGGGAAATGCTCTCTGGAGCAGTATAATTTGGAGGAAGCAGATGAATGGCCTCTGGCAGAACCACCAGCCTAGCAGGGAGGAGGTGTGGTATCTCTTTGCAAGGCAAGGTCTCTGATATTCAACTGAAACACCTTGCCTAGAGAGATTCCTCTTAGAGTGTAAGAGCAGTTTCTTGGTATCTGAGTTCCATCTCTCCCACTTTCTAAACTCTAAAAGAAGTGGCAATATCTGGGTCGAATGGGACCTATAATCCTAGTTTTTTGAGGAATCTCCACACTGATTTCTACAGTGGCTGTACCAGTCCACACTCCCACCAACAATGGAGAAGGGTTCCTTTTCCCCCTAGCATTTGTTATTGGTTGAGTTTTTGATGATAGCCATCCTTTCTGGGGTGAAATGGAATCTCAGTGTTGTTTTAATTTGCTTTTCTTGAATCACCAGTGATGCTGAACATTTTTTCATATATTTATTTGCCATTTATATGTCTTCATCTGAAAAGAATGTATTTATCTCAGATGCTCATTTTTGGATTGGGTCTTGGAATTTTGGGGTCTGATTTTTCTCAATTCTTTATAAGTTCTAAATAGAAGTCCTTTGAGGGACAGTTGGCTAAAACTTTTTTCCCAATTCATAGGTTTTCTCTTCACTCTGTTGGTAAATATATAATACTAGTTGATTATAAGCTCTGCTCTAATCTTTATAGAAACATTACACACTTTATTTGGATTATTCAATAAATGCACTGCCTTCTTTAAAAAACAGAAGTGGCAATATTACTGTGATATGTTCCTAAGTGAATGAAAGTGCTCTGGAGAGTTCTGGATCACCTAAACACCAGATGGGAATTATCAGTGACTATTGATAATGGGTGAGGTAAAATTAGGGCCTTAAAACTATGAGCAACTGAATAGCAGGTGACTCCCAATGTACAATAGTGCTGTAAGTGAGCCATAGGGAAGCACCCACAGCTGTGTTGTGCTAGGAGGGACAGGTAATGCTGAGTGCAATTTGCACCAATCAGCACCCTTTCTCTTGAGAGTATTTCCAAGAGAACTGGATAGCGGGGCAAGTGGGGAGGAAAGCTGCATGCCTGAACTTATCATGAAATTCAGGACACGTTTCTCTTTTGTCCTGGTTCCTCTTTTATGCTATGGGGAAAGAATTTTGTCCAGAGTTTTCTTCTCTCCTAAAAATTTCTCTTGGAACCATGTTTAAAGGAATTTGTGCATTATTTCCCTAATTTATCTGAGTGGAAATGTTTCTTTTACATAATCTCTGGTAGCTATTTTGTTGTAGGTTTCCTTCTTCCCCACATATCCTAAAGCCTTGGCCACCACTCTGCCTCCTCTAAAAGGAAACACACCATTAAAGTGCCTTTCCAGTAACCCACTCACAAGAAGCCACACGCTTACAGAAACACAGAGTGACACATAAAAAGCCCCGCGGTGAACAGTACTGCAAACCATTCCTGTGACCTTTATTGACTTGTGTGAACCTTTCTGACCCTCTGGTCTCATCATCTCCTTTTGCCTTATTTCCCTCCTCCACCTCCCCAGCATGGCTTCCTCCCATGTGCTAGCCTCCCCATGACTGGATCCCATTTCCTGTTGGTCTCTAGCCCAGAACAAAGGAAGGGGTGGTCTACCTTATATGCCACTTTGGAGGGACATCTCTTGCCGAGGCCTAGCGGTGGTGACATGAGAGTCAGCATTTCATACATCTCAGTGTAATGGATGCGGCCACTGCTCATGGGGGGAGTGGTAAGTCAGGGTGGGGGCAGGACAGGAGGGCGGCAGGGAAAGGAGAAGGAAGTTGGGAGAAGGATGCAGACAGGTAGGAAAGGAAAACAGGCATTCCCAGAGAGCCAAAACAAAATACATAATACAGAAATAGGAGAAGAAAAACAAAACAAAATGGACAAACAGGAAAAGAATAGGAAACCTGTTAATCAAGGCAAATCATACATGTGACTCCATCCTGGTATGGATTTATATCACGCCCCACACAGACCCGGGAACGCTGGTTGCAACCTTTGGTCCCTCTGACACCGTCAGAAGGCACTGATGGGGAACTCCACGTCTCCTTCCTGGTTAACGTTACCCTTGCTTTCCTGCTTCCTTCGGCTACCCCCAGAATAACGCAAGCTGATTTTCAATTCCCAGGGCTGTGCGTGAGCGGTATAAACCGGATAGACGGTGCTCCAGCCATGGGTAGGAATTTCTGGCCCCGACTGGTATTGGGGCACTGGCCTGGGAGTCAGACCTCGCTCCTCCCCTAAACCCACAGGCAGAACATCGTGTATCCCCCCTCTGGTGTGTGTGTAGCAGAAGGCGGCGGCAGCTGGCTTCGAAAGTGGTGGGCTGAGGTTGCTTGTCAGAGTCGGCCCGTTGCTTCCACCTGGCTCTGTGGACAACAGTGTTCTTTATTCCCCAGCATGCACCAGGTCGATGGCATGCTGGGGACAGAAGAAACTAAAACCAGGAGGAGGAAGAGCATCTTGCATGCCATGCTACCCTCCCCAGCTCTCCCACATGCGGCTGCAGGTTTCACCAGGGCGGAGTTTAAAGAGTCTCAGCAGAGGCAGCTGTTCAGCCTCCTGAGTATGGAATCACTGTATGACCACCCAAGCCAGCTCTGTCCATTGCCCAGGCAGGCGTCCTTCCTGCACCTATGTCTTCTTCCAGCCACCTGGGCAATGCTACGCCACAAGGAGCCCACACTTCCCTCCAGTGGCACCAGGTGAGGGCTCTCTGTCTAGCAGGCACAACCTCGGATGGGGGCTTGGTAGAGCCATTCAACATAGAAGGATCCCACAATATGGCAGAACTGGAAAAGGAATTCCTATGTGCCCCTGAACAGTGTCCTTGGTCTAACGAACAAAAAGTGACTTGGCAATTAGAAGTGCCTCCTCTGAACCATAATGACAAGACTCTAAGGGAAGGAATCTGCTTGGCAGCCCTTTGTCCTCAACTGATGCTATCCCACACTCTGAGAGCTAGCACATTCTCCAACATATCTCCAAAACTATGCCTTTTTATTTACTCTCACCTGTTACCTATTGTTTCCCCTCTTCTCTGTCCTACACCTCTTACAGTCACTTTTGGCCAAACTACCAGGGCCTGAGAGGCTGGGCAGAAGTGGAGACCACTAGAATTATGGTCTGATTCATTGTACATGGGATGACGATGCCAATAGCTAAAATGGAGCTTGTCTGTCTCCAATGATGAGAAAGCAGAACCTTGCTGGATTAAAATGATTATTGCATTCTCTGGAGGGAGAGGACCCTCTGACTAAATGTACAGACCCAGGTGGACTAGACTGTGTGTGTGTGTGTGTGTGTGTGTGTGTGTACACATATGTGTGTACATGTGAAGAAAAGTGAAAGAGATCAAATTGATTTTTATATTACGTCTTTAACTCTGCCTTCCTGACAAAATGTGCCCTGCTTCCTATTAACCGCTGCTGGTTCTGGGAGGGTTTGGACCTCTTTAAACTCAAAGGAAAGCAACATGAAGATCCCCTCATGTGGCACAGTGGTGGTGGAGCAGAGGACAGAGAGGAGGGGTTGATGCTGCATCCCACCGAGGGCATGACTGGGGGCTGGGAGGCAAACCTTGCAAGCCACCCTGTAGGGGCAGTTCTCTCCCAGGCCCAGAGGAGGCGAGATCACCCGCACTAATTTGTACATATCCTTATACGGGATCCTGCCGCTGTAAAGGAAGCAGAGGTGGGTTAATAGGATAATCAGAGAAGGATGGGGAAGAAATGAGAACTTGTCCCTAAACGGGCTGGCTGGGAAAGGTAAGAGCAGCTTCTTTCTCTGGGCTTAGCAAAGCCAGACCAGAAAAAAGCAAGTACTGGAGAATGATCATCTTGCTAAACTGTACTGTCCCAATTTTTCAGGAAGTGAGAGTCTGTTCAATGCCAAAAGACACTGCTTCACGCTCAGGAGCACCCTGTGATACCTATGTCACCCATGCCTGGCTAGAAGCAGCCACGTCCCTAGCTTTAGCTAGGCGTCTAAGAACAAACATCGCCAGTGTGCCTGTGACCACTGTCCAGTACTACATTGGCCTGCCATGGAGTGGACAGTGGAACTGTTTGCTCTTCACAGACACCCATTACAGACAGCTACTCAGACTGCCTATCAGGGGCAATGGAAGTCAATGTCTTTCTGCAGACTGTAAGAGACAAATTTCCCATTAGGCTAATTAGCAAGGAGCATAGTTGTCATGAGAGAATTAACGCGGCCTTGATTCCTTCAGTGATAGAGTTTCCTCAGTTCAGCTTGGGCAAGTTCTTCTCCACTCAGGGTGAGCCTGCTTGGATCTTTGTCCAGAAAGCAAACTGGGAGGGACCCCAGGTACACTCTCCTCATTCCATTCCTGCCATTCAGTATCCAAGTTGGACCCTGCCTGAATTCCAGAAAAAATGCGACCAACCCCTTCTCCCTTGAGCCTGCTGAGATTCCCAGCCTCTTGTGGACGGTACAGAATTAAATATTGATTCATGTTCAGTGGCCAAAGCATCTTCACTGTCAGGGTTCAGAATAAGGAATCCATGGCCAGGAATCTGCAGGTCTGAAACAGATCATGTTTCCACTGCAAAATTTAAATAAGGTGTCTGCACTCCCGAGCATCCAGTCCTCTCTGAGAGCTGCATCAAGGCAAGCGCCTTGCCCCAACTTTACTCTTTCTAGCCTTCTCTTGATTTGGGTGCTGATTCCTCGTCTTCTCTAAGATAGCAGCTCATCAGTACTTTCATGGCTCTCAGCTCTTCAGGGGAGGTAACTTATCCACATGTTCTTCTGGTTTGCTTCTTAGTGAGGTTAGGAAGTAGGTGAGTTGTTAGTGGATATACAGTGATGTTCTTTGCAATCTGTATCAGTCCTTATTTAGAAAACATTGGTTCACTGTATTTGTTTGTCCCTTCCAACGTTCTTTTTGCCACTGAAGCAAAATGAAATTCTGGCCAGCAGTTACAGTGATTGTCAAAGCAGACAGAAGAGGTTCTCCTTTGCCTTTTGCTCTTTTTTGCTTAGTTTGTGTCCCTGAGTCTCATGATTAGTCCTCATAGTACTGTTTCTTCACAGCAGCTGGACTGAATTAAGAGCAGCATGTTTACCACACACGGCACTTGGCCCCTAAGGCAATGAAAAACCGCAAGAAGCTGGGGTTTCTTAGAGCCAAGGAGAGCTGAGTGAGGCTAGGTGAACAATGACCGCCTCTCCTCACAGATGGCTTCTCTTAGGTGAGTCACTAGGCTCCCAATCCCAAGGCCATCCATGCTTTACAGATGCTGATTTGCTTCTTTCCAAGTTGCATTCTCAGGTGCTTATGGTCAGTTGCAGTACTAATAGCATCCATGATGTAATAGCATCCACATGATCTTCCCTTAAGGTAGGAAAGTATCATTGTCACTGCTCCACAGATGAGGAATCCCAGAGAAGTGACTCATCCTGGTCACAGACCTGATACAATGTAGGCCTGCCTGCATTCTCCAGTGACATATTGCCTGCTGCTTCCTAACAGCTATCTATGAAAAAGTGAGTCCAGAAAGTAAAAGGCTGCTGATTAGCCATTGTATCAGGAGGAGATTTAGATAACTCTGAGCTTTCAGGCATAAATAACTAGAGAGGTAGAGGAATTCTGGTTCACCCTTTCAGCCCAAAATTCAATTGCCTCACTGGAGGATAGATTTTGGGAAGCATCTCAGATTATAAAGGGGGTTCCAGGTGGAAGCAACGTGGTCCATTCCTGTGAAGGATGAGATTTCTTGTAGTATTTTCAGAGGGGGAGCAGAATGAATAGAATGGTAAGTTAAGACCCCAAAACCAAGATGGGTCAGAATTCTTTCTCTGAAGGAACCATTCATACAACTCTCACTCCATTTTCAACTGTAAAAACTAGAACTCTGCCTTTGTTTCAAAACAGGGGTCACCAAATTTTTCAACAGTAAACCTTTGATAATAAGATATTTCAATAGTATTTTCAAATTTGAGGATTTGAACCATCTTTGTTATAGCTACTCAGCTCTCTCTTGAAGTGTGAAAGAGCCATATACAATATACAAATGAATGGTTGTAGCCATATTCTAATAAAGCTTTACTTGCAAAACCAGACAGTGGGTCAAATTTAGCTCACGAGCAGTAGATTGCTAACCCCTGCTCTAAACACCAGAAGGCACATCACTTCAGACCTTCTGGATATAAAGGAGATAGTAAAGGCATGATCCCTGCCAATTCCTGCTATTTAATTCAGTTTCACGTAATAAAAATCTGCAAGTGTTTAGAGGAAGAGTTGTAAGAACATTTTGCTTGGTTTTTAAAATACAATCTCAAGTTATATTCAAACTGTATCTGTTGAGATGGATGACGGAGATAAAACACTAACATTACTGATCATGGTGGCCAGGTGTCCACTGGCCCAGAAAACCCTTATCAAATCCCCCTGGTGACTTAAGGGAATCCACTAACATTGGGAGGAAAATAAGAAAGAGATTACTGGAAGCTGCTCTGGGAGTGAACCCAAATAATCCAAGGTGAAGACTGTGTGATGAGATTGATAAAGAAAGGGTAAAAGCCTGTCACAGAAGGAAAGAGACAGTGAGGGAAGCAAAAGAGTAAGATTTTGATGACTGGGTTGATACCAGAGACTCTTCCACAGGCACAACCAGGAGGAGTTACCTATCCTTCTGTAACAGACGAGCATTTGGGTGGTTCCAGTTCCACCCTCTTCCCCAAGAACTCCAGAGGCATTTGATCTCTAGGTGTCCAAGAGGCTTACGCACCATGCTGCTCTGTCATATTCTGCCCAGACGCGGACAAACTCGTCCAAGTGGTGAGGTCCCAAGATGGAGGAATCCCGAGTCAGGTACTCAAAGTTGTCCATGATGACAGCCACAAACAGGTTGAGCATCTAAAGCACACAGAGGAAAGGAGGTGTTAAGGGAATGAGAAGCCTAAAGCAGAACCCAGGGAGCAAGACAACAGGCATCAAGGCAAATAAAAGATTTCAAAAGGCCATAAAGCTGAAGTTCCTAGCTAAAGCACCGCTAATTTGTACTGCACATTTCATTGTGTGGGCATTGTGATTTCATTTTTCTATGCCACTTCACATTTGCAGACCCCTCTACTTGTATTATCTGTTCAATTTATTTAATTGTTTTTGTGGTAGCGGAGAGAGCAGCAGCAGCTTTAACATTCTCAAAGTTTAGAGAAAGTCAAGGCCGACTAGGAACCTTCCCTCTACTGCCTCCTTCGCTCACCTTCGCTCCACAAGAGGGACCCAGAAGAGAGCTTGCGAGGTGTTCAGAGTGAGCCATGCCTGCCTCGGTGCTTAAAGCACAGAAGGCCTTCACTACATGTTGTCACTTGGGCCTTCTTAATACCTTGTGCAGTATTTAGAAGAGATTGTGATATATTGAGCTTTCATATGTTAAAAATGTTACAAATTCTGACAGGACACGTTTAACAGAAGGCAGAGGAGACAGCATGGATGACAAAGCACAGAAGTATGCAGGGGCAGGGGTCACAGGGGGACCTGGAGGGAGAGCAGAGCAGCTGAGGCCAAGTGTTAGATTTCAGAAGCATCTTCTCAGCCACACCAGAGTCTAGACCAAGATCAGCAACCTGGTCAGATAGCATATATGGTGGACCTTATGGATTGTACTGTCTCTGCTAAAACTATTCAGCTCTGCTGTTGTAAGACCCAGCAGCCACAGACAGTGTGTATACAAGTGAGCCTGGCTATGTTCCAAGGAAGCTTTGTTTATGGACACTGAAACGTGAATTTTATATCATTTCCACATGCCATCAAATATTATTTATCTTTTTTCCCCCTGTCATCATTTAAGAATGTAAAAATCATTGTTAGCTCACAGTCTGTGCAAAAACAGTGGCAAATTAGATTTGGCCCATGGGCTGTATCTTGCTAATCTCTGGTATTCTGCAGGGAACAGGAACCAATAAAAGAGTTTAGACAGAGGAGATACCAAGGAACATTTGCATTTGGAAACAACCCCTGGGAATAGCACAGAGGGTGGACAGGAGACTTGGAGGGGCGTACTGTTCCAGGACGAAGCCAGAGGCAAGAAAAGCACAAAGACAGGGTTAGAGAGTTAATGAAGTTGTCCAAGAGGCACTCAGTACCTATTCACTATTTCTGCTGCAGATTTTTTCCTATTTATAGTTAGTGTGACTCAATGTGGCACCATTCTATGACCCAGGTCCCCAGCAAGTCATCAGATCCCATTTTCTTGGATAACAGTGATTAATGACGCAATGAGAATGAATAAAGGGGTATTGGACAAAAGACTTGCTCTTCCCTGTTGTTCATGAATGTGTGAAGGTATGAGGTGTAGAGCTGCTATGACCATCTGGGAGCCATGAGGTAGGGTATTTGAAAACTGAATTCATGTAGAGGAATGTGGAGGAGAAGATCTATAAACAGAGAGAAAGCAGATCCTGATGATGTCATCTGACTCCCTGGCTTAAACCTGCCCTGCCCTGAGATGCCTCACTGACATGAGCCTGTAAAATCCCATCTTGCTTAGACTAGATCTAGCTGGACTTTTTGTCACTTGCGATTTAAAGTCTTGCTTCATAGAGACCAACTGGCTCGGGGGATGAGGGAACAGGAGTCTCTGTTGTGGATCCCAGGTGAAAGGCCTGGATGCCTCGAGGAGCCAGCTATGCAGACAAGGATGCAACATAAGGAGCAAGTCTGCAGAAGGGTCATTGCTGGACTCTTTTCCACATGGAATGTTGGTTACATTCTAGCTAGTGCTTGCCCTTCCTGTCCTTCTTCCCTCCCTCCCTCCTTCTCTTCCTGTCCTTCTTCCCTCTCTCCCTGCTTTCCTTCCTTCCTTCCTTCCTTCCTTCCTTCCTTCCTTCCTTCCTTCCTTCCTCCTTTCCTTCCTTCCTCCTTTCTCTCTCCCTCTGCCTATAATACAAATGAATTTCTGGAGTCTACTTCTCTTTTTGTGTGTCCCCCCTGAGGGTGAAGGACACTTCCTAGAGATGATGCAGGAATGATTCAGGAGTCCTAACAAATCTGTGGAGCTACCATAAGCCTGACAACCTTCCTCCAGATTTTGCTGACACAAGAGGAAAATCATTACCCTTCTTGGTTAAAATGATGGTTTTTGGGGAGTTTTATTTCATGCTGCTGAAACGACTCCGAGCATGGGCCTTTCTATCTGTCACTGAGATGAGAGCCACTGTAAATTTATTTAACCTCTGCCTGGGTTATAACAGGTTTTTCATGTATCCACACGTTCCTTTTGCACTCTTTTTGGGGTATCTATTATTAATGTAACACAAACTATTAGCATTGTTATTGCTTCATATTTGTACAGTCTTTAACAACGTGCTGCACGCATTCACACCTATCATTTGTTTTTATGCTCACTCTAACCCTTTGTGAGGCAGGTTTAATTACCATGAGCCCTTCAAGGAAACAAGTGCTTCTAATTCACTTTTGTATTTTTAGTTCCCAGCACATGGCTTGGCATATCATAGGGCATCATTAAATCTCTGTAGAGTGGTTGGTCTGAGATAAGAAGTTGTGTGACTTGCCCAAGGTCACAAAGTCAGTCTCATGGAAAATAAAGGTTTGAGGGCAAACCATCTCATCCTGAATATAGCCTCATTAAAAATAACATTAATGTGAATTATGCAGCACCCTTCATCTGAAAGTTCTAAAAGTACCTTTATAGTCCCTAATTAATTTTGCAGTTATATCTTTGGTTTCTTTCAAATATTTATTATTAAACATTTAAACTATGTAAGACAAAAATTGAGATGTCTACATGGTGTTCTTTCTGCTCTATTCGACCCTTGCAAGTACTGCTATGCTATAAGCTGGTACCTTTGTTGACTGTTCTATCATAGTGCCTAGGTCAGAGTCAACCTTTTAAGAGCTACTCAGTAAAAAAGTGCTGAAGATGTGAACCAATAGCCCTTAAACACCAATTAATATCACCATTCTAAGTTTTCCTTCAGTTATTTTCACTGACATTATGCTTTCAGATATGCAAACAGGAGACTACTGTGTGTTCTTTCTCCACCAACAAATGTTTCACACCCATGAGAAGGAAGTGTATTGAAACACATGTGTTGGCTTACTGTACATACAATATGCTTATCATCAAGTCATTTTCTCTCCCATTTTAAAGAAGCTACACAAGGGAATGTATCTTGGCCAAGGCTCATACAGCAAAAGGCCAAGACTACAAAGGGGGCTCCCTTAGCCTCCATTAGTTCACTCCCTGCAGTGTTTACCTGTACAGCATACTTGGCTACCTGCAAACACCTCCCCAACACTGGAGATCTAGACTGTGGGAAGTTTCCATCTCCCTGAGATCACTTTAAAGAGGTAGAAGTGCCTAAACATGAGACAGTTAACTTATTTCTCTGATGCACAGCCTTGTAATCCACCACTTTTCAGCAGCAATATTTTTTTAATTTAAGCTTTTGTAGAGCCAGTGGCATTAGCAGTGAAACTGAGCTGAGGGATGTCAGCAAGGACAGAATACCACAATAACCCTTTATTGATCTGGTAGCACCTCATCCATTTACTCTGTTTATCACTGTTTGTCTGATGTACAGGGTAGAAATTTTTGGATGCTAATGTGCTAATTCAGGTTTTCCAGAAGAAAGAACTAGGAAGGGCTTCTTATCCTTTTCTAAGTGGAAATGCTCTCTATACATTTATTAACACCCAAAGCAGTCATATCCTTTCTCACCACTGAGGTGGTCAGCTGTTGTCAAATGTAACGGAACTAGAAGTCAGAAGAAAACAACATCTATTATATAGTATCCCCATTCTTCACTTATTAATCTATCACCTTGTGTTTTCAAGGTACCTTTTCTCAAGCAGATAAAAAATGACCAAACGCGAGGTAAGATATTCTTATCCCTAGCTAAGACAAAATGCCTGAGGTACAAGAAGAGAGGAACATACGGTGGGTCACCAAGAGTCAACATGAAGCTCAGGGCTCTCTTCACTGAACTGCACTGAACTCATCTCTTCTCAAACAATTCTTCCCTAGAATCAGCAAATACTTCTCTCAACCAGTGGAAGTCATCCACACAGGGGTCTGAGGAACATCCTGGCCTCCAGAAGTTCCCTCCAGGAGGCCTAGAGAGGGCCCTTCTTCTTCCCTGGGTTGGAGGGTGAGAAGGAAAGGGTATGGGAGAGGGAAGGAAAAGAACGTGGACACACACAGAAGGAATTTTCTCTTGCCTGTTTGTCAGTGGGGTTGGCACAGGGTTAGGGTGACACAGGCCATATCTGCTGCAGGAGGAGCGCAGTGCTGCTTACCAAGAAGGAGCAGAAGAAGATGAAGGAGACGAAATAAACATAGGCCAGGTCAGTGCCACAGCGCTCATTCTCATTCTGCCCAGATGGGGCAGTGGTGTCAGGTTCGCAGCCTTTCTCCCCAAGGCATGACAGCATAATCTCCTGCCAGGCCTCACCTGTGGCACTCCTGAACCCAAAAGACACTTTGGTTAGAAGGAGCAGGTCTGCACATCCTGCTTTATCCTCAGGCCTCTTTCCCAATTCACCCATCCTTTCTCTTATCATAGGCCCTACAGGCTCCCTTCTTACCCAGTTGACCCTTCTAGTGCTTTCCATGCAGAGAGGGAGAATGCCAGTGAGGTCTCTCATGGGTTCTGCCACGCAGCCACTGCTTTTCTATCCTTGGGGGGAATCTCTGCTGACAGTGGCAGAGAAAGTGGTGGAACTCTTGAACTCCACTTAATCCTAGGTTTCAGCTCTTAAATGGAATTTGGCCTACAAGACATTGTCCTCAATCCCCCTTCCAGATTCCTAGAGCATGTGTTGAAGTTGAAATGTGCAAATTAACTACTGTGTCACAGATATTGATGAAATTTTCTCGTATCAGCTGGGCAGTTAGACAAAAATTGCCCTATTCCCTTTCTCACTGCCTATTCTGGTAGGAGCAGAAGAAGCAGGACAAGGAGGCAAAAAGAAATGGGGATAAGAGGCTGACCAAGTTTCTCTCCCTCCGCTAACAGGACTCCAGCTAGGACAGCTTCATATCCAAGTACCTGAAGAGTAGCATGAGGGACCCAAAGAAGCTCCGGAAATTGTTGTGCCGGTTGATGTGACTCTCCTCATCTAATTTGATGTTTCCAAATACCTTGGGGAGAAAAGCAAGAGAAATCAGTGAGCATTACTGAGCTGTGTTGTGTCCAGCATGTAGCCATTAGATGCACAGGTAGGGCTAATAAAGCTACATGCATGACTTCCTGATGAGACAGCTCCAGCCTGGAGAGCTGATGAACACCATGCTGTTGGCCTGCTAAGAAGGACTAATTGTCTTCCCCAGTGTAGCAGGGCAGCAAAAGGGGTGCTAGTAAGGTCCAGGTATAGCATAGATTGCAGGATCCTTCAATGTCCTTCTACTTATACATAGATCCTCCTGTACCTAATTTAGTCTTTTTATTTCCATGGTACCTATCACCATGGTACTCAAACATGTGTAAAAGCATTATCCCCTAACAGAGAGGCAGAGAAGGACTCATCCTCCCCTTCCCATCTCTGGTGGCCATGATGGAAACAATCTGCATTTGCTGAACATGTCATTTATGGTTTGGGCAGATGCTGCCCTGGAATTTGCAAGCAGTCTAGATCAGATTGGAGAGAGCATCCCTGTCTTTGTTAGACATCATTCTATTTAGAATCTCAATCTCAGAATGTTGATTTGTCAGTAATCTCATGAAAATGGACATCCACATGTCTGTATGCACATGCACCCACCCAAAAGTGACCGAAATCTCATCGAAAAGTGAGAAAACCATTCCTTGTGGAAGCTAAAACAAAGCCCACACAACAGGACAGGAAAAGTCAGCATAGTGGATATCTGGGAAAAGAAAAAGAAAATGGGGCATATCTAGCTACAGAGAGGGGTTTACTAAGCTGTTGCTACCTGTGGCTATCATGGAAATGCATGTGTAAATGCAGAAATGCCCAAGGGAACTTTACCCATAGTAAATAGAGATGAACTTTCTAAGATAATTTTAAAGTAAAAAATGTATTCTTATTGAGAAGGTGGTCTTTAAAATTTCTTTTTATTTCTTTTCACAATGCAGCCTGGAGTCAAGATCGCCCCTTGGTTCCCTCAATGAGAAGAATGCTTTTGCATATTTACTCTCCTCCCCCACTCATGTTTCTGATGTCAGGATCTATCTTCACAAGCTAGTATTGGTAAAATGGAGGGCTTCCTGGGTCACTTTAGCAGCCATTTGAGATAATTTTCAGCCTACACTTAGCATACTCAGTTTATCCAAAATATGCTAAATGGAACACATTTTCCCCCTAACAGTTTTTAGAATGTGCAATTGAGGAACTATCTCTCCCCCCAAGCTATTTTGCTCAAGTAACTCCCACTGACACCTGCTTTGGGAATTTGTTCTCAACACTGTTTTTCAAAACCCAAATACTATTTGTCTCTCAGGGAGAATGGAGGAGGCAGCAGCGGGAAGAATGGAAAGAAGATGAAAAGGCAGAAGACCCCCCGAGAAACAAATACAATAATTGCACTCAAAATATCCCACCCAAGCAATCAACTCCAGTTCTGGCTACTCCACTAGAACATTCTATGTTTTTGTCGTTCAAATCTCATTTTCTCTTTCTTTTCACCTCTTGGCTAAGAATTCATGACTGATCCCTGATCCGTCACATATACACAATGTCCAGTACGTTTTCTCCCTATGACACTCATAGAACCATCATTACTTGTCCTGATTATGGTTTTCTGAAACACCCCACCAAATCACAAACTAGACAAAGGGCACATTGTGATTTTTGATATGATATATAGTCAAAGAAACCACAGCTATTTTGATTATTTCCTAAGATAATTTGCAAGTAAAAAAATCCATGTTTATTGAGAAGGTGGTCTTTAAAATTTCTTTTTACTTCCTTGCAGATTTTCACAAGGTCTTTATTACTAATCTAAATCTGCTACATCAACAGGCTGTGGAAGAGAGAGGAGGAGTATTTCAGAAAAATTCATGAAAATATAAGCTTAAATCCATTTTCACTTGGAATCACAGAACTTTTGAACTAGAAAGGACCTGTGATGGTATCTAACCAACTCCTCCACTGTATTGGTAAGGGAGTTAAAGTCCAGAGGGACCCAGTAACTTGATTAAGTTCACACTGCTAGTCAGAGCTGAGGCTGAAAACCTTACTTCTAACAACTGTAATTACATATTTCTTTCCTCATGCAGCAGGCTAGTCCTTCCTTCCATCTTCAGAGTTTTCTGCAAAGGTCTCTGCTTCCAAAAAACCTTTGGACATCTAGAATAATGGTTTTTCTCATAGATACATTCACTTGTTACTTATGCCTCTTCAAAAGCTTGACCTTTTTTTTTCTACTTGTATAGATGTCTCCACTTGTGGTACAGTATATTGTACACGTTCTCTCTAGTAACAAGCATAAGCTTATGTATGGCGCTGGGTCTCTGTCATAGACTAGGATGGGGATTGTCAACTAAAGATATGTCACAGTGGAAATGACATTCATGAGTGTGCCCTTATATTTTAGCAAGATGCATGTGGGTTATTGAGAAGATGATGATTTCATCACTGAACAGCTCCTACCTACCACTGAAGGATCAAAGAAGCGCTTGAATTTGCCTCTCTGGTGGTATGAAGATGGTTTATAGCTAAGAACATGGATGGTGGAACATATAAAACTGAGTTCAAATCTTAGCTCTTCCATATAAAATTTGAGAACTTGAGCATATTTAAGCTACTCAACCATGTTAAGAATCACTTCACTCCTAAATACATTAGCAGCATGGTTTGCACTCATACTTTCTTTTCATATTTCTGTCTCCTGTCTGCCTATCTATGTATCTCAGTATCTATCTATCTGTCTGTCTATCTATCTGCCTATCTATCTATCCATCCATCCATCCATCCATCCATCTATCTACATATATGCATATACGCATGCATTTGGCACTGTTTGGCACACCAAGGAATTCAAGTAATAGTTAATAGCATTATCAACATTATCAGTATTATCAGTAGTAGGTTAGAATTGAGATATGTTATTCTAGTTTATTTTGCTTGAAGATGAAAAGGGGTAAGAACTAGTTTAAGCACGAGCAAATAGAACGTAATTTAATCAAGTCTGTATTTGGCTGTTGACTATTTCAATTTGAGATCAAATTTGGGGGAATAAAGAAGGACTTAATAGAAGTTCTCAAGCCAGTCTAAATTTCGCTGGGAATTCAACATGGCTGACATCATTAATCTCTGATGGAATTTCCCTGTGAAGAAGAACCCACTGCTTCTTAATCGAGTCTCACAAATTTTGATACATGACATTTTGATGGTTTTGGAGAACAAAACTTTCCAGTAGTGGAATCACAGGAAGGACAACACTAAGAAGTGAAGGCAAGAAGAGAAAGGGGCAAAAAGATAGGGCATTTTGGAAAGCTCTGGAAAGCGCTGATGAGGAAACAAGCTTGGGAGATAGAGCTGTGACTGCAGGTGGCAGACACCACTGAGAAGGCAGCTGGCAGTTTAAAGGCAGCCAGACTGCCTGGCTGTGGAAGACTGTCCATTGAAGTTCTTTGCTGAGGTTTAGTCATGGTATCTGCAAGCCAGAAAGTGAGCCATCTAAGATGAGCAGAAAGCCTGTGTGTCCAGTAAAACAGGCTCATGGGATGTGTGGTGCCGTCATTTACAGAAGAAGTTCGTTCACCTACCACAAATGACCATTGTCCTTGAAAGAGCTTTTGGCCTCTTCTGGCTCCATAGGTCTCTAGCTACCTGAGTAAATATCCATGGCAGGACCCTAATCTGATTCTCAAGTCTGAAATGGGAGAGAATGCAGAACAATGATACATGGCCCAGCAAGATTTGAATCAGTTGGAATGTGCCCTGTGGGTCTCTTTAGGATGGGCAGGCTGCAGGAACTCTATGAGCTATTTGCGGCGCTGAGTCTTCAAATATAAATCCCAGTTAGTCAAAACTTAATCCAGATGCATTTGGTATCACCACATGCACCAGAATAAACACTGAATCTTCTTTTAGGTCCAGTCCAAAGACCAGAGATCCCGGTAAACGGATTATACACGCTACCCCAGTCTTGTTGGAGATTTTGCTAAGTATGAACAATGGTGTCATCTTTGCTTTAGTTCCTATGTTGTGTCCACAGGAGAACAGCTGCTTATAAGTTAACACCATTATCTGACAGTCTCAGATGAAACTACAGTGCCATGCCACCCTGAAAATCTGGGGAACCACTGCATATATGAAATCATCAAGGTCACACTGCAACGAGACCTCAGGAGAGCACCCTTAGGCAAGGAACAGTTCAAAGCATCTTCAATTTTGCATGCTCAGGTTGCTAAGCCAAAGATCTGACTAACACCTTCCCCCACCAAGCCCAATGCACCAGCTCACCTGCATCCCAATGATGGCATAAATGAAGAAAAGCATGGCAATCAAAAGGCAGACATAGGGAAGGGCCTGGAAGGAAAGCAGAGAGAAGATCATTAATCTAAAGGAGGCACCTTCCATGGTCAACAGCTTGTGGTCAGTCACTGGCAGGAACTCTTGCCCTTAGGGTAGTTTACACAGAGGACTGGGACTCTGCTCCTTGAGGCTGCTCTGTTTTGGATGTAGTGCTTTTTCAGGTGTCTATATCCTTTGCCAGATATGTAAGGAGCTGGCCACAGTGAGGTTTGTAATTTACTTCTGTGGAGAATATTCACTCATCCAGAAATGTAGCCCATATCTCCAAGGAAAGCTTGAAAAACTTTCTGGGCTCAGGATTTGTCTTGCTTGGCATGCAGAAGATTAATAATCTGAGCAATTGTAATGCAAATTACATAGCCAAGAAATCCAGCTTTGGCTTTCAAATCCTTGTATTTCTCCTTCCTACTCCCACGCCCAGTGTGAAACCCATCATGGAGAATCTGGAAGCAAAGTGAAATGACAGGGGTCTCACTTGTTTGTCTATTCCTAGAAGGTTCTTTCATCTTCTGATGAAACATTTTTCAGGGCTTAAGCCACCCTCCTTGCAATGTTTCATGATGTTGCATGGAAAAATCTCAAACGCCTCGTAAGCGTAAGCCACAACAAAACTTTGCCATGAAGCCATGTGGCATAAAATTCCACAATGTGCATATATGCTTACTGTCACTTTGGCATGACAGCATTTCAATATGGGATGGGGACAAGCAAAAGAGATAAAAGGCAGGGAGCTGCCCTGGCTGGCTGGGGGAGGGTGCAGACGTGGGGATATTTGGATCTTTAGTTTACTACAGACCACTGTACTTTTGGAGTGATCTCAGTAAGCTTTCTGGCAGACAATGTTACCATAAATCTGCACTCTGTCACGAGTGTGTACATCGTGTGTCTCCGGAGACCAAATGAAGGCTTTCAGACTGTTTGAGCAGGGCAGGGCTTATCAACAGAGTTAATGAAATGAAAAGCCCTGTGAGACTATTTACAACTTGAATAAAGGATCAAATTTAAAATGCGACTGAAAGCTGGTGGGAGAATCCCCTCCTCCAATAAAATGCTGGCTCCCAAGATCTAAGGAAAGGAATGGGAGTTTTCAGGGGAGGCTTGGCTGCTGAAGCCCGGCAGTAAGGAGGCAGGGCTTCTCACCGCCTGGAATGCTGCTGCCTTCCATCCTTACTTCCTGTCCTTGGTCTACCTTCTCCACTTCAAAGTCTCTAGTCTCTGCTCATCTTTTCCAACCCCCAGCTTTCATGAGCATACCAAAGATTCCATCTGTTCTCCTTTCTCATCATTCCATGAATTCCAACACACAGTGAGGGAAAAGAGGGAAAAACTTCCAAGCAGGGCTCAGAAGGGGAAGACTGGATGATATTCAGGACTGGGTGAGGGTACATACAAGCAATAGCACAACGCTATTTATCTTGCATTGCTTTCTGCTTTGTATTTGTAGAAGTAGCCTTTGTTCATATGACTTTAAGAAACTTCTATACTGTGCCCCAGAAATATTCGGAAAAGAAAGCACCTCTGTGTAATGCAGTGTCCCCTGAGGCAGATTCACTTGTCTTGCTGTTTTGTTGTATTCACCAGAATAAACTAATCATTCGGTCATCAATTTTTTACATCTCTTCCTTTAATGTCAATGGTACATAGTTTCACAGAGACTTGGTGATTTTGATAAAGTGACAGGATAACACATTTCTTAAGAGACTTACTAACAACTGACACTTATTGGGTAGTCCTCTTAAAATAAAAAATAAACAGCTTTAAAGGCATCTTATCTTTCCCATTCTAATTCACATCCACCTGAGACTCAGATGGCAACTTCTTGCTAAGGTTGTAGCTTTTTCCTCTGTCCTCTAACTTTGGAAAATAGTTTTCATCAAGGTGAGGTCTCTGGGAGTTATGCCGAACAATTATTCTGGATAGGAGGGAAATGCCAAGGTTACATGTAGAGGCCTGAATATTCTTACATTGGTCTCACATCTCCAACTTTGAGGTCCTTGATGAAGAAATCAGTAATGATGATGTCGGGTGAACTCTCTTTCCCAGGGATGACAAACCATGAGTTCACTGGCTTGTCTCCTTCAGTTTAATTTCTAATTTAAGTATATAAATAATTACAATAAAGAGAATTTGGTGAATTCATGATTTCTCATCTTTGAATCATTTAGTGTCATCGAATTTATTTTTAAACACATTCATTGAAAAACATCTTTTTCATAAGAGAGAAAAAAGCATTTAAACAATACTTAAACAACGTTAAACAATACTTAGTTTAGGCATTCAAAACCTTAAAAATAACCAATTTATGATAATTGCTAGAGCCCCAAAATATTTAAATATGTTTGAGAAACTTCTTTTATTGGAAATCTCTGCTACTAAGCCTCAGGTATTGACTTTAATTTATATTTATTGTCTATACACTTCTGTACGGCCCCATGACTGTTTAAAAGAAACTTCGTGTATTAGCTTGCCCAGACATTCCTACTTGTAGGACACAAAGATGACCACTGGCATATCACACAATCAGTGGTTTGGGAAATGGACATGATGCAGATACAGGAGCACTGAATATGAATCATCTTGCTATGAAATACAACTGAAAGAGTCCTCTGAGAAACTATTTCATGAAATAAAATCACTGACAACTCCTTGTGAACACAGAGGACATCTGACTGCAGTTGTCTGGCTCCTTACATGGTAAGATTGCTTGAGGCAATCTGAAATACCCAAGCAGGAAGCACACTTCCTAGAGCATGTACCTTGCCTCCTGGCCTGAGACACAAAGTCAAGGTGCTTTTTTAGAATGAGATTCTATCCAGTAGACATGAGTTGATTGCTGTCCAGTCAAGCTGGGCTGTAATTAAGAGCTGGTGCATTCATTAAATGCTTCCATCACAAACACCCATTTTACCAGCTTCACATTTCCAGAAGTGAAGGGATGGAAGCACTGATACTGCTACACAGTGCTGCCTGCTGCACTGTTTGATACAACAGAGCCATCTCGGCCCTCAGAGAAGAGTGTCTGGTACTTCTTACCTTGAAGGACTGCACAAAGGTCCACAGTAAAATACGTATGGTGTAGCCCTGACGCAGAAGCTTTATGAGACGGGCAGCTCGGAAGAGCTTCAGAAAGCTCATATTGAAACCACTGGTGTTCACCAGCTGGTGGACCAAAAGGAAACATGTAATTAGTGACATTATGGTCATTTAGAAAAATCTAAGCACTAGTTATTTGTATATTTATTCCTCATTTAGATCACAAAATAGAACACAGTCTCTGTCTTTGTTTGTTAACCCTAACTCCAGCAGATGGGCGAGGCAACATGTGCTTCTTAGCTTTCTCATGCTTATCTTCTATTCCCAGCAGAAGAAGGGAGGTATCCCTGGACACAGGAGAGAAAACTGGCCCTCCTGGCCTCCACCACGCAGTCAAAAGTCTACACTTACATGGAAACAGTATTACAATGAGCTTGTCAAGTGTTCTTTAGGATGAGCAAATTGAGGGAAAAAATTAAAGCCTATGAACTCTGAAGGCAAAGATGCTATGTCTCACGAGACTCTAGCAGAACAGTGTATGCTAGTTTTCTTCTAAAACCTTATATTACTCTACTTGTTCCATTAGAGGTCTGGTATTCAAGTCACGCAAATGAAACAAAGCCTTTCATGAGATTTAAGTCTGCTCCAGTTCACATTCTCCGGCTAATGCTCGAAAGTGAGGAAATGAACTCTCAGCACTAGGAGGGGAACATATTTGGTTTGGTGGGATAAAAATGAACCTATCATGTAGGGGACTTTTTAAAAATGATTACTCCAGAGTCAGGCTTAAAGACATTTGAATACCTTGCTGTCTGTCAGGATAATTTCTGTGATGCTGCCAATCACGGTGATGAAGTCAAAGATATTCCAGGTATCTCGGAAATAGTTCTGCCAAATGAGTTCAGTCGTGGAACATTAGAAAAAGAAACAGAAAAGAATGCAAGGAAAGAAAAGAAAAGACATCTTTCATTACATAACTTTGTCACTTGGAATTAAAACTTGTCAATTCATGCACAAATTCATTCTAACTTTGGCTTTAGTTTCCTATTTCTAACCAGAAATTCTATTTCTCCTTTACTAATCTGGGAATTTCTCATTTAGAAAGTGGTTCCATCACTATTTGAAGACTTTGTTTTTTAAACTGTCACTGGAAAGCTCATATATAAGTTTTTATAAATTTTTATTTTTTAGAAATATTTATTTTTACCCAGGCACTACTCATTAAAAAAAATACATATTCAACGTATACATCTTGGTGAGTTTGGAGAGAAGACCACTTCTATGAAATGAATACCACCATTACAACTTCTAAATTATGCATACCACATCAAGTGACCCTATAAAACTATAGTTCTGACTGTTCAACAAAAACAAAATTCACAAAAGTAAGTGATGAAAAGTCACAGATAAGTGTCCTTCTAACTCCACTGAGCCTTTGTAAATCAACAAGTGATGAATAGATTTCATTTTCCTCTCTTTCTGCTGTCACACCTTTTGAAAAGTGAAACTAGGTAAGAAGCAAGGGAGTAGTAATGAAATAAGCAGGATGAGGGAGAAAGAGGAGATATACAGGATCTGGAAAATCTATCAGGCAGATAACACTCCACTTAATCAGAGTAGACTACGTGTCCATCTCCTAGGCTTACATAGACCTTGGACTTGGTTCCTTAAAATGGGACATTTAGGTCCTTGGTCACCTTCATTTTCTGTGTGAGAAAACTGAGGCTTAGAGAAATCTAATTCCAAAACCATATACACCTCAAGAGCATGCAGAGACACTGATGCACACAGCTTCATCAGGAAGCTCACTTTGCATTACGATACTGAGTTCATTGGTGGTAAAATAAATTCCTGAATTATCAGGGCTCTACTATTCCCCAATCTGAAATGAACATCCTACTTCTCGGATCACAGATCTAGTTATCAAAGGCCCAGAAGCTTTGAGTTCCAGTTGAGGATGCTTTACAGAACAGTATACTAGAATATAAAATAGCATAGTGTAGAACAGTACAGTACCCTCTTAAATGTGATTTTATTTCCCATTATTTCAGTTACCTTCAGTCCAAAAATATTAAATGGGAAATTCTAGAAATAAATAATTTGCAAGTTTTAAATTGCATAGACTTCTGAGTAGCTTAATAAAGTTTCACCACATCTCACCCAGGACTTGAATCATTTCCCATTTGTCCAGTGTACCCATGCTGTATATGCTATCCACCCATTCATCAAATATTTACTGTCTTGGGTATCAGATCAATTATGGTACCACAGTGATTGAGTTCAGTAATTATTATTTTATTTAATAATGTCCCAAACACAAGAGTATTGGCACTGGCAATTCAGATATGCCAAAGAGAAACTGTAAAGTGCTTCTTTGGGGTGAAAAGGTGAAAATTCTCAAATTAATAGGAAAAACTACAGTCATGCACCAGATAATGACATTTCTATCAGTGACAGACTACATATATAATAGTACTCTTGTACAATTACATTGCCTATTGTTACAGCATTCTTAGTTTGTATATGTATGCTCTATGATGTCTTTACAATGCTAAGATCACCTAAGAACATATCCCTCAGAATTTACATTCATTTAGTAATGTACGGTGGTATACACAAAGGATTCTGTAGTATCTGCAATTTCAGGCATCACTTTGGAGTTTAGAATTTATCCTGGCAGACAAGGGAGGAAATACTGCATAGACCAGGAGGTTATTGTGAGCTCTAAAGTCAGACAGACCAGGATTTGAACACTGGCTCTCCCTTTTACTAGCCTTGGGCAAAGTTTCATCTATTCTGAGGTACAGCTCATCCATAAAAGAAAATAATAATACCTATCTAACATAATTGTCATGAAGACAAAATGAATATGTAAAACATCTGAACCTTAATAGGTTATATGGTCTACATTACTTCTTTCTGTCTTCTTGCTTGCTTGCCTTTTTATTCCCACCTTGCTTTCCAGTTCTACCTTTTATTGTGTAACCTTTAAAAAGTTATACAATTTTTCTGATGTTCAATTGCCTCATTTAAAAACAACAATAATAATGGTGATAATGATAATGATATCTGCCACAGGGATTTCAGCATCATGGAGAAGATATAGCATATATTGAGGAATTCTGAACTGGAGAAGTCTAGGTATTGTATCATGTACAGATTTATGGGGACTAGTGATGCCTTTTATAGTGTGAATGCCTCTAAACTGTGAATAAACACTGGGCTGAGGGTGGGAAGGAGGCAGGCCTCAGGGCCAAATCCTTTGGTTAAGCTGTAAGTATGTATTGAACCTTCACCATAATTAGACTTGTAATTGGGGGCTAAGTCACAGACAGTGTCAATACTACACACAAGCCATCAAGATACATAGAGAAACTCCCCTGTTGTGGCTCTGGCATCTCACTCTTTTTCAATCCATCCTACTCAGGGCTGGACTGTTTTATAAAAGCATCTTTGTTGGTGGCGGTTTCTTTTTTACCTTGTTTTCCAAGTCTCAGAACACTCAAAAGGAAATCAAGTAAACCACAGTGCAGCCTCCTGCAAAGGGTTCCCTTCAACTCTCCACCCCAAACAATCAAATTAATGGTGTTTCAAAGAAACAGAAGGAGATCAAAAGCAACCCCCACAATCAACACTGACAATTACCAAACTCAGGCCAGAGTCCCTGTTAAATCTGCTAGCAGACACACAGTTATTCAGATCAGCAGCAAAATTTTTCTTCTTGCAGGGAAAGCCATACACACATATAATTTGAAATGGTAGCTCACAACCTAAATAAGTGTGAAGCAGCTGTCAAGTGGGCTTATCAGCATCCTACTGAACTCTCAGCACACACTGAGGAAAGCAAGGGAGGAGATAGACGGGATTATTTTTTATAGGACACTGAAACAAAGGGCCAAGTTTCCTTAACACCCTTGAGAAGAGATGCAAAGAATTCTCCAAACAATTATAATTAGTAATTAAGGAAAAGTAAAAGGAGAGCTTATGCTGGAAAAACTCATTGCCATCCTTCCCAAACCCAATTCCAGAATCCTCCCTAGACCCACATACCCCTGAAAGGTCACTGGCCTTTGTAAGCATAAGTAATAAACATTTATTTTCAATGGTAAAAATTATTCTTCATGACACTCACAGGAGGAAAACTAATGGGTAAAATCTATTATTTGCTATTATTTGAGGCTAGAGGGACAGATATTTTTAGTCAGAGTCATGAAATTCTTATACTTTTACCAGTAAATAAGCACTCAAGGTTTATTAGTGCAGACTTTGCTTTGGTCCTTTCCACATAAATGGCAGCTGTAAGAAAGACTAGTGATGGCCACCCCGTAGCTGCAGACAGGATTCGACAAGATCAAATCAAGCGGACGGTTAGATGAACATGGAACCAGGGAGCTGACTTCCCTTGCCCTTTCTCCTCTCCTCCTCACACACTGTACTATCTCTATGGCAGTTTATCAAGCAGTCAAAATGAGCTCACAGTTATGTGGGCAGGTGTGCAAACCATTTCTGGAATAGCAGTAGCCACCACCTTCCAACAAAGGCTGGGAATGCACCCAAAAGAAGAGGAGACAGGCCCAATGCTGGGAAGGATTCAGTGACATACCAAGAAGCCAAAAGCGATGATCTTCAGGACACATTCCAGGGAGAACACCATGGTGAAGGCAATATTCAGGTACTTCAGGGCCAACTCATAGGTACAGGGAGCAGAGTAATACTGCCAGGCAGACAAGAAGAAACAGTCAGCACCCTATGGTGAGGGTGATAATACATGTCACCAAGGACAGCCACCCCTCAACTTGAGATTGTAGGGTACTTTGGTGTCTGGTACAGGAAGAGAGGAGTACTGAATGCTAGAGTGGAAAATTACACATCCCGTGTAGCAAAACAAAGCAAAACACAGATCCATGCCCCACTTATCTAGACTACTCAATAGCAATACAACCCGTCTGCCTGAGATGGAGGTGAGCAGAGCGGAAACATTTTGTAGCTGAGTACTTTACTATTTAGTATTAAGTAAGATCAAACTCTCTTAATGCTCTGACACTCCTTTAGACCCCAAGTTGTCTAAGGACATTTCCTGCCCTTTTTGCAGGTTAACTCTTATCTTTGCTCTTGGAAGCTCCTGGACTGCTACTACATGCTTTACTGTATTTGGCTCATTAGACCTCAGAGTCCAATGAACAAATGAAAGGTAGCAGCCTGGTACTTTGGAAGGTTTTCCTCATGTCTCTGAGCACACACAGTTGCTCAGGAGGGTGCAGTTCCTGGGGCTCACCCTCCTCTTACCTTCATCATCAGCACCACAGTGTTCAAGGCAATCATGGCCATGATGGTGTACTCAAAGGATGGAGACACCACAAAGTGCCACACACGGTACTGGAAGGTGTGCCTATTCTGCGGCATGTAGCGGGTGAGCGGTTTGGCACTGATGGCAAAGTCGATGCAAGCCCGCTGCAGAGAAGTCACAGTTATTAGTCCTGGCGCTGACTCCTACACCTTGCACAGGGTGGGTTCTCCATTACAGGTTAGGAGAGGGTGGCATAGGACAAGGTAGAACTACACACACATAGAAATGGACAAAACTATAGTCAAGATGTCACTTTAAGTTGGTACATAGAACTGGAGGTCTTCTGTCACATGGGGTCAGGACTTGGTGGTTATGAATAAAGCCTTTTCACATAGTCCTTAGCTGAGAAACTCAGATAGGAAGCCTTCCCTGATGTCTTTAGCCAGAACAACAGATCTGCTGGGTGGGAACCCTTTATCTAAAATGCACAGAATTAGAAGTATTTGGCATTTCAGATTGTTTTCCAATTTTTTAATATTTGCTTGTATATAAGATATCTTGGAATACAACTCATGTTAAAACAATACTCATATTTCATGTATGCCTAAAACAGATAGACTAAAAATAATTTTATATAACATTGTTAATAATTTTATGCATCAAACAAAGTTTCATGCTGTGGAATTTTCCATTTTTAGTGGCATGTTGCTCAAAAAGTTTTGAATTTGGGACCTTTTTGGATTTTTGGATTAGAGATGCCCAACCTGTATCTCTCTACATAGTCCTTTAGTCCCTAACAGTTTCTAGTTTAGTTCTATTATTGAACAACAACAAAACCAACTACAAAATCCTACAATTTGCCAATTTTTCTGCCAACAACTATCCTTGTTCTTGGAAAAGCAGTCATCAGACATAGTCTCTACCTTTAGAGAAAATGTATGTATCCTGAAGGCCACAGTCAGGAAAGCAAATGTCTTAATGTTATCTCTGAGTCACACATCTATTCTTTCCAGATTATTACACTTAAGGTAGAGCCTGCATTGAAAACCTGATGTTCTACCTTCCAGTTCTCTGTGCCTCACACTTGGGCCTTGAACAGAGAAAGTGCTCAGAACATATGTTTAACGGTACTAATATCTCCATCTTGTCTCTATAACTGCACAATACATTCAGAAAAATAGCCTTCTTCCCTAACACAGGCTCCAGGGTCCTTCCTGAAGCTCCTACAGTCCCTCATCAGGGACCACCTGTTGTTACCTCATTCTTCTCCAGGCTACACTCCTCCATCATCTTGTCTCCTTGCTCCTGGAAGGTGATGATGATGAGAGCCACGAAGATATTGACAAAGAAGAAAGGAAAAACCACAAAGTAGACCACGTAAAAGATGGACATTTCCATGCGGTTGCTGCGGCTTGGGCCTCGGTCTTCCTCTGTCACGTCTACAGAATGCTGTAGAACCCTGTAGGGGCATGATGAGGGGCACAGATGGTGGATGACACAATTAGGAGCCAGACTACCTACTACAGCTCTGTGGTAGACTTCTTTGACTTTACAGGCCCTCCATTAATTTTTTCCCGGGGGGTGGTCCATAACCACACTGGTGAAGACCCATGGACACCTTAGTCCACTGCTGTTTCTAGCCCCCTTTCTATCTGTATCCAAATCCTAAGCAACAAAGCCACAACACTGCATAGTATAAGCCATCATATTCAATATCAAATGACTCCTGGATCACTATTCAGCATTTTTCTGCCAACTACAGTATGTTGTCTCTATGAAGTATTACCTTAGTCATTGTTAAGTTGCTTAAGAATTAGCCTTTACTATGGGCAGCTTAGGAATTTGCATTTCGCTGTCTTCTCCATAAGGGTATATTGTGTCTCTGAGTTCTACTAGCTCATCCTTATCCCTCCAGCCTCAGGCTGTTAGACACAGGGCCAAGTTGGAGAGTAAATCTGTCTAAAATAGCCCCTGGGGATTCTCCTAAGAGATGAAGAGCTGCTGAAAACGTATTTGTTCTACAGGGGTCAGATGGCTCCACTTAATGCCTCAAAAATTGGCTAAAACAGTAAAATAGTTCCCTTTGTCTGCCCCTCTCCATCTTCACCTGAAGGTTTTTCACTCTTCCTCTCCTCTGCATGTCTCACCCATTCATAACTACTTACTCTCCTGAGTACAGTAACAATGGGTTAGCTTGCTTCCTCTTGAATCAGCTTCTCAAGGCACCCATGTGGTCCTACCCCAGCTCACAGATAAGTGTACCAGCCACAACCCAGCACTCACTGAGGCCATCCTTCCCCTGTGGACACTGTGAAGAGGGTCAGCAGCGCCCAGATGATGTTGTCATAGTGGAATTCATGGCGCTTCCATTCCCGGCCCTTTACCTCCATCTTGTTTTTCTCATGGTCTACATAGTTGCCTCTAAAATCAGAGTGAAAACGAAAAAGAGCCTCTTCACTACACCTCATGGAAGAGCCAGAAAATTCCATAGGTTTCAAGAATATAGGGTAACAATGACCACCATACAAAATGCAAGGAAGAAGGATTTTATTAAAAGCAGGTATAGCCGTGGAATAAAAGTAGTAATGATGTTCAATAGATGTGGGATGAAATGCCAACGTTTTCACTAGTTACTGTGTAACCATGAGCAATTTAAACTTTGAATCTCGGCTTTCACATCTGGGATATACAAATAAAACCCATCTCAATAGCTCGTTATGAGAATTTAAAATGAAAAACTGAGGGTCAAATATCTTTGATGACATTTGACACAAAAGATGTTCTTATTTTATGTTTCTACTGAAAGTAGAATAGAGATGGAAAGGAGACAGAGTCAACCTGTGGAGGATGAAGTAGGACTCATTAGAACACGGTGAGCAAAAAGTGAGCACTCGGTGCAGGCGGCACTTACATGCACTCCTTCTCCGTGTCCTTGGAACTGTCTGTGCAATAAAAGAACTTTCCCTTGAAGAGCTGAACTGCGATGACAGCAAAGATGAACATGAAGAGCTTGTAGACAATGAGTATGTTGAAGACATTCTTCAAGGAGGTCACCACACAGTCGAACACAGCCTGTGGACAACAGCAAAGGGCCTTGGGTTGTGAGACCTGTGACAATGTCTGCACCTGCCCAGAGCTGAGGTGGGACCAGCAGCACTGAGAAACTTCCCCAGGAGATGTCACCCCACTAAGGAAGGGGTGACACTCTTGAGACTAAAATGCCTTCCAAGCTGGTCATGGTAGTAAGGACCTCCTGCTCAGAAGGACGCACACTCTGATTGAAAGGAAACCCAAAGCAGTAAACGTGATGATGTAAACCCAAACGTGATGACATAAAGCCACAGAGGGGGTTCTTTGAGGGATCCCGGTAGGGTACTCAGCATGAAGCACAGAAGTTTAATGCTGGAAGGGATCTTTGCGATCACTTAGTGCATTTTAACCATTAAACAACTTCTCCCTGCCCTATTGGGTGACATTCACAAGTTTACTTCTGTGCTGATTGTGTTTGTTCTTCACCCTTCCTAAATGGATCAGGGAGTGATAGTACACTATAGTCTTTGCTCATCTCAATGATACTTTGTCATATATCCATACACTTGTCCTGATTACATTCAACCCTTCATGTAAATGTCCTTTAGTTTAAAGCTAGTGTGAAAATAACAGAGGCAATGTGAGAAGGGCTGAGACCCACCCTGACTTAGATGAGGATGAGAAAGAATGGAATCAGGCATTCACACTTCAGTTAAAAGATGATGGGTCTCCAGAGACCTCCATTCTAAGCCCTAAACTGTAAGGGGTTATACAGAAGTGTGACCATTTTTAGGTTATTTTCTAGGTTTTTAGGTTTAGCTCACTGGAGGGAGAGTCTAGACCTGTGGTGGCTCCACATTTGTGCAGTTGCTTCTCCACAGCACTGGGTGAAGCATCGTTGGTTTAATTAGTTCAACACTGCAGGGAATGTGAGTGACACATAGCCGTGTGGAATCATCAGAGCCACCCACATCTCCCTCAGGTTACACTGTGGAGAGAGGAGCCAGCACTCTCTAATTTAACAGAATTAACCAAGGTTGAGGTCGCCTCCTCCAGCCTGTTAACTAATCTCATCAAGCTGCCTGCAGGCTCCCGAGATCCACAGATGTCTGCACTGCAGCTGACAACCATGGCTGGGCCCCAGGAAAGGGGCACAAAGGGAGAGTACTGCGAGGTACAGGTGAGGCCTGTTGCTGGGCGGATGAGAGGTCTCATTACAGTGGGGAAGGCAGGGAAGCCACCTGTTTAGAAGTATAAGTGTTTCCTTCTGGGAGTCCATACAGTGCACCAGGGCTGAGAGGAAGCCATGTCTTAGCCAGTTTGGGCCTTTCAGAAGTGACTTTCCTTCTGTCCTCTGCCTTTGATAAATCTAGTTGGTTTTGCCTCCTCCCTATAGAACAAGAACAGATAGGGAAGCAGACCAGCAGAGGTTTGGGTTAGGATGAAGTTGGTAGGGAGCATCAGAGGTTACAAGAACCCCATAGGAAATGAGAATCCAGATGCAGAAAGTGTCAAGCTCATAGCTTTCTGTCCTCTGTGGCAGGCATGGGAGAGAGTAAGCCCATACATGCCAGTAGAATCGCCAAGTTCTCCTGCAGGGACCACTCAAGCCAGCTCATATGTCCACATCACAAATGTGTGTTAGAAAGTTTTCAAGTTGAAAGTCTAAGAATAAGTAATTTGCCACAGGTCTTGAAGCTCCTACATCCCAGAGCTGAGCTGGCACTAACAAGGCTCTTTTTAAGAATTCCCCAACCAAGGCTGGGTTTTGAAGGCAGGTTCCAAGCCTCTCTCCCAGACTGTCTGGTTTTATTGCACCAGAGTGGCCCAGGAACCTGCATTTGAAAAAGCATCTAACTGATCCTGATGCAGGTGGCCTATAACCCACACTTTGAGGCACTGCACTATTCTTTGTGACTCTGCAGGCAGGCAATTAAATCTGCTTCTGGGAAAGCACCCTGATGCAGCTCCCAAGGATGGGCTCAGCCCTGTGCTTCAGCTTGCTTTTCTGACCATGTGGCCCTGGCAGCAGCAGCAGGACTACAAGGCCAGGAACTGGGATATGAGAAGTCACAGAAATTCAGAGAGAAGTTCTCTCCTGTGGAGCTGTAGCTTCCATTAACACCAACATGTCAGTGGGGGAGAAGGCAGGACGGAGGTGAGTCCAACACACTAGCAAACAGAAATGGGAAAGCATAACCTGAGAAGGAGGAAGATCTTGAAAAGTTGGCACCCAGGGAGCAGGAGCAAGGAAGGTACTGGACAAGGAAGAATTAGGTTCTGCCAATGGGAAGAATTTAATTTGGGGTAAGTCACTTACCCATTTATCTGCTACTTGTGCCAAAACTGGACTATGTGTCCTCAGTAAAGTTACTGACCTATCTCTGCCACCCCTAAATATGAGAGGTTAGAGCTAGAAGATCCCTTCCTCCTCTAGATTCATAAATTTAAAAATTCCAAGTTACTTAGCTTATCCTAGACAAGACATTCAGAGGGCTCTCATGGCTTCTGCTTTAGTGTTCTGGGTTCACTTTAATGACATAAGGACAAAAACATACAGGCTTCTTCCTGGATTACATGGCACTAGAGAGTACAAGATGTCACCAGGGTCTGGACTCATGAGGCAAAAGCCCTCATACTGATTTTTTTTTTTTTGGATATGGGATATTTTCCTTCAAAACTAAGACCTTAGCTCAGGGAGATGAAAAGAATCTTACTGCCTGTATGAGAAAAATAAATATTCCCAGAGTGAATTGGAGAATTCTCTTTAACCATGGCTAGAAGAGAGAAGAAGGGGATGTCAAGACAGAAAACTCTGAAAACATTACCTTAAGCTTGGGCAAGCGCTTGATTGTTTTCAGGGGCCTCAGAACTCGGAGTACCCGTAGAGACTTGATGGTCTTGATGTCGCGCCCCTTGTTGGTTCTGCCGGGGAAAAACCACCAGGGAATCATTTTAAACAGGAGAAGAAATAAAAGCAACAGTCATACTTCTGCATTACTAACAACAGGTAAAAGGATAGAAATGCGGATAAGAACCCAGAAATTGGGCCAGTATAAACTCCTTCAGGGACACTCTACAAAAAAAAAAAGCTACGGGAACATTCTCCAATCACTCCCCAGAGAGCATGCACATACATCGATACGCACATATGCCAATGCATGCATACCCATGTACACTGATGGTCGCCGACTCAGTATGGTTCAACTTACAATTTTTCTACTCGATGGTGTGAAAGTGCTATGCATCTATTAGAAACTGTACTTCAAATTTTGATCTTTTCCAGGGCTGAAGCTACGCAGTACACCACTCTCTCCCAACGCTGGGTAACTGCTGTTTCAGTTAGCCATGAGATCGTGAGGGTAAATAATACTCTGCTGCATTGCCAAGCTATATTTTGTAGGGAGCTGTACTAAATGGGTTTTCAACTTACATATTTTCAATTTTTGGTGGATTTGCTGGGACATAACCCCATCATAAGTTCTGGAGCATCTATGTACAGACACTGAGAAGCACATAAGCATACTTGCACACACACATACGCACAGGCATGCATTTATATGCTAATAATTCTTCTCCCTAGCTGCCAGCCTAATGTTGTTCATCACCACACTGGCAAATAAAGTGGAAGGTATGTCGGCGAGGGAACACAACCAGTTTGGACCCCTACTGTACCTAGTCCAGTGCTTTCCCAGTAGCAGGTTCTCATATGATAATCATTCGACTTGAACAGGAATCCATGGCTAACATTATGAGGGCATTTGACTTAGCCTAGGTGTGTTCTCTCTGAATAGTTCATCAGGGTGGACTGAGCAAGGCGCTGAGGGCTGGTGGGAAACGACATCCTTGCTGAGTAAGCCACCCCAACATGGTCCTGGTTCTTTCCAGGACCTTGGCTCACACCTCAGTATCTCTGGGCGGCTGGCTCTTCCCATGATTCCTTCCATTTCAGATACCCTGCACCTTGCATAAGCTTCACAGGGCAACGCAAGTGGAGCAGTGAGGCCCTTCCCACCTTTATTCTACCCTACAGCTAATGACTGTCCTTATTTAGCCTCTTAGAAATGTTTGTTCCTAACAGAGAAAATACATTGTCCTTTTATTTCCAGGAATGAAATGAATAAATCAAATTGCATTTCTCTTTCCTCCCTGCACATCCCCTGAGATCTTTACATTCAATTCAAATGATTGCAAATTTAAAAACACACAGGTGGTGGAAAACAAGACTAAACAGTGAGGTTGGGCTCTGGTTTCTTTCTCAAGTTAGACCAGATTATTACTATACCAACAATTTGAGGAAAGGTGATCTAGAATATCATGAGGAAACTACAAGGGATTCTGCCTCAGTTTTACCCTGGGATACTCACCCTCAGATTAGGAAGACAGCATTCTCTCTGTTCTTTCATATAAGGTAAGGTAGGAAGACATTTAATCCAACCTCGGGCATGCTGACTTTGCCCAGAATGTTATTTTACAACTATTTTAATGGTCATAGGCCATAACCTACCAGTACTTTTTATTTATCTGTAGATCTGAATATAAATAGTCCAAAAATATCAAATTGATGCAGACTTTTACATCCAGAGTCTTTGGAATATTTTGTGAACTATTACATATCCAGAAGAGGCTCCATATAAGTCAAATACTACCCAAACTAATAAGAATAATTATTTCTCAAGATGGCTTGGTAGCTTCTAATTTTTAATCTTTTGGATACCAATGGAAACTCACCACACCTTTCTCAGTGAGTCAGGCTCCTCCCCTCCCAGTCATAGTTTCTCCCTCCTCCAACCCACTCCCCCCATCTTTTACTTAAAGAGTAACAAAACAAAAATCAAACATATTTACCCCAAAGCGTTCCTACGAAGGATCCAATCAGAAAGCAGTAATAAAGGGGTAAAGGGTAGAGACAAGAGTAACAGTCAGAAAATTCCAAGGACAGAGACCATTGCAATGACAGGACCTGCCTACAGCCTTGGCACTCGTGGAGCCCACAGCGTTTGTGAAAGGAAGGACCAAGCACCACCTGTTCCACAAGCCCCCCACCCCTAACCACACGGACAAGGTCCTTTGTACTAGTGAAACTTCCTTTAGATCAGTGGCACACCAAGTCTTTTACTTTGCCCATTGGAAGCTAGCTTAGTTGAAATTTTTTAATTGCAGACTTTTCAATTTCTGAACTGTTTTCAGACAAAAACAGTTTCTGGTGGATGTATAAGAAACCAGGATGGAGGAATTACACCTCTGCATAATTCCTCTGCTCAGGAAAAGTGTTTCAAGTCCTTGGAGGAGAGCAGGACTTAAGCAGGGTTTCATCTGGAGGAGAACAAGTGACCACTCTGACAGGACTCCTCTGGTGTCTCTCCAAAGCTGATGACCAATATCACTAAACCACTTGGAAATAAAGGGGAAGCAATTTATTTATCAAGGTTATAGAAAAAGCTGCCCTTTGATAAATTAAATAACCAAGTGTCTGTTGTGAGTTATTTACTGTGAAGATGAAGAAAAATAATCACTGCTCTCTAGTGCTGAGTCATAGTGAGTCAAAGCATAAATGTCTTTGAGACAGAAATAATTTAATTTTAACTTTTTGAGTAATTATTGTCTATTCTGTGCTACACACGTTAGCGCAAATCTTTCTTTAAAGTGCCTAGTAACCTGAGGACAGAGGCTTTGCCCTTGTTTCACAGGTGACAGAGCAGTTAAGATGCCCAGTGTCAGCTGGGAGAGCTGGGACCTGAATGCAAGTATGGATGATGCTTGGAGCTGTTACTCTTAACTCAAAGCCTGTGCCCCAACAGCTTTTGGTTTAAGCCTCTGTCAAACAACTCACTAAATTTTAGAGCTACAAAAGATCTCTGAAACCTACTTACTTGCAGAAGAAACTGAGGCACCAGGTAAAAGTGGCACATATAAGATCACTCCGTGAGAAAGCCAAGATCCACAAGTGCACACATATCCCATGATTTACCATCTTGGCCCACTGCTATGAAGAAGTATCCAGAATTCAGCCTTTGGTTCTTAATTGCCAGTAACTGTGAAGGTGACTTTTCCCTCCCTAATCATTTTTCCATGTACCAAAAAACTATGTTATATTACCTAACTACCACATGTCACAAGCAAAAACTTTTAGTGCCAATTTTACTCAGTAAACAAATCCAATTTTCAGTATTATGTTCATTTTTGCTGTGAATGCCAAATGAAAGTGTATGTGGGAACTAAACCCAAGGCCTTAGACCCTTAAATTCTTAATGTGGTAATTTTCCAGTGTTCAGAGGACAGAAATATCTTTCCTTGAATTGTAACAGAATCTTTTCATATATGAGACTAGGCATTAGTTGGTGAGTTAATGATACCTTTATCTTTCATATAACAAGCATCTGTGGAGTCCTTACCTTACATCAGGCACTGTTCCAGGTACTGGAACAAAAGAGGTGGCTAATCTCTTGGAACTTGCCTAGTCTAGTAGGGAAGACAGACCTCAAGGAGATGAACACATAAAAAAGTATAACTGCAAACTGCCACAGGAGAGATTGAATCATTTGATCAAAAATATACCAAAATTACAACATAAATCACTCTCCTTTCCCCAAGGCTACACTTAGTTTGAGGAAAAACTAAAGGAGTCCCCCATGCTTCTAAGATATGAGAACAGGCTGGGGGATCAATATATAGGCAGGTGGTTTAGGGTTTTACACTCCAGGCTTTGCTTTCTGCTTAGCCCTGCTCTTTATCTAAGAGACATTTATATCTAGGGGCAACTGAAAGGGTTCTTAGAAGTCACACAAGAAACAACTACACACAGGATGGCCTAATATGTCTTGTTCTTCTGACACGTCTGGATAAAAGACAGAATTTGCTCTCCACAATTAATTTTTCTTGAGGATCACAGTAAAATACCATGGTATGGAACACAGGGGATTTAAAACTACTGTACACATATTCCTTATTTTAGAAATTAAGGTTCCTTAGAAATTAGACTCCTTCAGATCTCAGAAGAGAAAATAATCCCATGCAGGCTGAAAGGGAAATAAGGAGTTGTCATTGCTTTCACACCTTTCAAACAAGTCTTCTACTGCAGAGGAGACACTGAAAAACTATGCTTTTGTAGCATGCACAAGGCTTAGCATTGAAATAAAAAGCTATGACTTTGAAGAAATGCAGAAAAGTGTTTGCATCCTATGTTTCGTTCATATAGGGTCAACACTGATTTGAAAATTACCATGTGAAATAAAAAGAATACTGGATAACATAGTCACAGAGTCAGAAAAAGCCTCAACAATTTAGCCCTGACTAATTGAAATATGCCATAATTTAGACAGGGGGTAGGCCAAAGTACCTCCCCCGAATCCATTATGAAAGCCAGTAAGATTTCCAGGGAGATGTTTTGCCAAACTAGGAGGACAATGTCTCAGTTGAGGCACATTCTTTTGAAAATAATTTATGTGCTTTTAAAAAATCATCTAAATAAGTCTTCTGGTAATACTGTTAGTCTTTGCTACTATAGATGTGATCAGATTTTTTACACATCCTAGCTAGTTAGAATTTCAACAGATTTAAAAGTTGACTGTAATATAAAAATTCCACATGCTACGACACCAGTCCCACTTTAACTGGGACTCAGTGGGACACCTATTTGACCATTTGTTTCACACTTATCTCTAAGTAGACTGGCTGTTCTCCAGGAAAAAATAATGCTGTTTCTCTTGTGTCTCATCAGTACAAGATGAAAATTTCCCAGCTCAGTTGTCAAGTTGTCCTCCAGATGTGTCATGTGTAATCACTCATCATTCACTGTCATCTTGTTCTCTAGCTATTGGGTCCCCTTTTCAGAGAGGACACACTCAAGTTGATTTCTGCTAAGAACTCGCTCTCCTTCCATAGCAGCAGAGAAGACACATCAAGTTCTGAAGAGTGCTTCATTCTTTTCTTCCTTTTTTTTTTTTTTTTTGCAGTGGTTGGGATTGAATTCAGGGCATGCTGCTCACTAGGCAAATGCTTTACCACTGAGCCATATCCAGTAGCCCAAGCTCATTACTATTTTAGTGTCATGGTCCTTTGCCTTCCTCAAGAGCCCAGGAGGCAACAGGGTAGTGGTCTGAAGGAATCTCTTGCCTTGTGGAATGGCTAGGCTTGCAGGAGGGTGAGATAGAAAGAGAGGACATGCTGGGAGTGACTTTGAGTGCTTTCCTAAAGGGTCTGGATAATTACATGGTAGGCAATAATTGCCACCACTTATTATATAACTTAAGTGCTTGATACTATATTGAACACTAAATATATTTTACCTTATTTAATCTTGCAGGACCAAAATACTTTTTTTTTTTTTTTTGGTTTTTCTCCGGTACCGGGAACCGAACTCACGACCTTGCGCTTGCCAGGCAGGCGCTTTTGCCGCTGAGCTAAATCCCCAGCCCCTACATTTATTTTTAATTTGCACTTGCTGATGAAGAAGCAGAAGTTCAGTGTGTTAAGGTAGCTAATAATTAATATTGTGAGGATTTAGACCCAAAGGTGCCAATGCTGAATCCTAAGCTCTTATGTGTCATGTTACAATACCTCTCAAAGGGGAACCACTGAAAGATTTTAACTAAAGGAATGAATAGTGAAAGAAACAAGGAATTTCTGAATTCAAATATTAAGGCAATTAATTTTACTCCCTATAGTCGGTCTGGGTCCATTCATGGGAAGAAAAGGTGACAGGTGAAACATCAAGATGGAGAAGCCCAGGGGCGCCCTTCATCATCTGCCCTATAGGTCTTGTGTATGTCCAAGTATTGAGAAAAGGATCTGTAGGCTGAGGAGAGATCCAGAACAAGCCATTGCTCTGAGTTTAACAGGATTAATGGCCTGGAACTAATCTAAACATCATGGCAAAGAGGACTCTGATATACTGGAGAAAATGCTGAACTTGAAATCAGCACACCAAGGCTGCCCAAGAACTGATTTGGCTCCTTACTCATCCAATGAGTCAAACTAGTCAAGGCTCTGGCAGTTCATTCCCAAACTATGGAGTAGACTGTCATATAATAAATGAAATAAGGTATGCAAGGAAATGAGAAGGAAGTTTCCCCTTTTGTACTGACAATGCTTGCCTCTCTAAGACCTGTGGGTAAGACTATGATTATCTGCTTATGTGAAAACCTCAGCTTAGCATTTTGACCATGTAGCTGCTCAGCTGCTCCCATCTGGGAATTACTTTTCCTTCTGTCCATGCCTCAGTATCTCTTGGGTTTACCCATATGCCTTCAATCCACTGTTACTCTACCATCTTTGTTCTGTGCCCATAGAACTAGCTAAGTGTTTGATGCCTAATCCTTTCCTTCTTGCGCATGAACCTCTACAAGCTTGTCATAGATGACACACTTTTGCAAACTTTCACCTTTGCACTGCATACCACTGTACTCCAACTGTACTCCATTTTCTGTCTAAGCACTAGGCAGCAGCAGAAGGCAGCAAAGCATCTGTCTTCTAGCAGTTTTGTTATTCAGTGAACAGTGGCCTGATTTGTATTTCTTCTTAGTCTTCATATTCTAAACATACCCAAAAATCATGTGTTGATCTTTCGAGGAAGGCCTTGCCTGAAGTACAGCCAATACAGCCTCCCAGCTGGAGAGTAATTTGTAATTCTAGGCTGTGGCCCTGTGAGTTTGGATTAAGCAGATGGCTGGCAGGTCACATGACCTAGGCTGATACTTCCAAAGACCCATCATGAAGTCTTCTGTCCCAGAGGACTCTAAAACCTACTTTTAGAGTGATGGGTTTCCATCAGTCCTGCAAGACTAGGCTCTTCTCATGGCACGAAGCCTTGCCTCCTATAGAGTGCTTTTTGTATCTGGGTCTGATTAGACGAGTTGCTG